AATTATTTCCACACATCCATCCCCCCCCATCCCCATCCCTTCAACCCTTTCCTCCCCATTCATTCAATTCATTCCCACACTAACCCCCCTTCATATCCCAAATCCTACCCCACATAAAACCCTCCATTTTCAATATATTCATCCTCCATCTCCTCTCAAAAAAACCCCCTAAACCCCCCCCTCCCCCCCTCTTCCCAAAATCCACCCACCCATCCCTCCCCCCAAAAATTTCCCCACCTAACTACCCTCTTCCTCTCTCACTTTATCCACATAATAACCACACCCTTCCACATTACCCCCCCCCCTCCCTTTCCCCCCACTTCCCCCAATAAACCAATACATATTCCCAATCCTATCACCACCCCCCACACCCAATATCCCAACCCTCTTCCCCCCCCACCCACTACCATCCACCCAATACCCTCACTCCCAAATTCCAACCCTCCAACCCCAAACATATCCAACCCCCATACATAAAACCCCAAATATACCCCCCACTCTTCCACCACTCATAATTATAACCACCCACCTCACACCAACCCCCCAAACAAATGCTAATCATGGTTGAGGGGGGAGCACACCGTAGACCCGGAATTGAAAATGCTCAAACACACACACCACACACCAACAAATTTGCTCATGAATGATTATAAGCTTAGTCATAACCAAAATCAAATAAATAAATCTAAAAGTACAAAAGACATGTTGAAATATGTAAGTGCACATCACAAGTAATGTTAGCACGTACCGACCAAAAGGATGGATTATATTATTATTTAAATTCATTACAATACAGATTGATTCAATTCTCGGTCTTCAAATTTATAAATAATAATATATAACAATATAAAAAGTACTAGTGCTGTTCAAACGATTCAATAATTTATAGTAGATTAAACCATAGTAAGGTGATTAACTCACGATTAATCGCAAGTTTTAACAATCTATATACCAAATCCACACCAATAGAAGTAAATTAGAAGTAAACACATATAATTACCTAGTTGTTGGGGTAAGTTTACGTATATGAAAACGTTAATTAGTATATATTTACATAGAGTACTACACCCAAAAAGTAAAAAGACCTCAGCTAACCATGAGTATACAACCACAATCAAAAGTAACTATGTGAGGCAGTACAAGATAACTAAAGCGATTACATTTATCGTATGTCGTGGATACCGTGAGTCATAAGTCTGTGCAAGTAAATTATAATGATACACTTCAAAGTTAGATTAAATTGTTAGCAACAACCCCACCCTACTTATATAAAATAGTATGATAAGTTAGTATAAGTGGCACATGTACCAGCAGGCAAACAGGTTAAACGACACATGGCCAAGGTAGCCAAATTATAATTAAAATTGCAATTATAATTATATACACCATTGAACAAACAACACAGAATAACAAAACTATGCAAATGTAAAAGAGACAAGTTTTAAAAATAAATAGTATCTCCCAAATAGACACACACGACACGAGCACCATACTTCACGCCTTGCCAGTCAAGAACCATGGAGAAAAACCGTAGCGCAGTAGTGCGCCTAGACATGACACAGAACCAGGTAAAATAAACAGTTCTCAGTCGCAGATGCTGCTGAGTAAAGTTAAAGCGGCGCAACTACGCCTTTGTCTGCGTGTTAATTATAAAAGCTAGATCCATGCATTGTCTGCAGATATTATAATAGGCCCTCTTTTTTAAGATATTTCCCCCCCCCCAATCTCTGGCTCGCTCGTTATTCAAAATAGCTATAGCTAACCATGCTTGCCAGCCGCTAGCACTTGCCATGCACCGCCACTCACAGTCCGCTAACAACACCCGAAAGTGCGGCCAACGGAGGATGCCATCTCACACGCAAGCATTCAGAGTGATATTCTTATGGATAAATGGGGCGGGTATTTAAAAAAAATAACGCGTTAATAAAAAATGTAATTAACATGAGTCAAAACGTATAATTTTGTGTACAGGTGCATTGAGCTACGTTAAAAAATGAAATTGCAAAATTTATGCATCAGTGGTCCATCAGCAGTTGCCTGGTGTGTAAACTGAGCATTCAGCCTATTCACTGTGGTTGCATCTGGTAGCGCATACAGTGATTGAGAAAATCCCAGACTCTGGTCGCTTTCTCGCGCGTGCTGTTTAAGCGGAAGTGACGCAATAGCGCGTGCCCGTACACTGTTTTGAGGCTCCATATGTTTCCCACCGGCGTTCAGTGGATCCGTCCCGTCCTCGTTAACACGCGTATTTGATTAAGATTGGATCCAGCAGTTTCTTCTAAGAGAGCCAGCTCAGAATCTCCCGTCTGGAAACTCCACGACACAAGCGAAGAGAAAAAAGATTGTCACCAGATGCTTACGAAAAGTGCGAAGCGAGAGGCCGCACCGGGCGGAGAGCTCAGACCCGATGCTCGCACATCCCATGAGCGGTCTCCGAAACGCTCTGGGGATAAAAAATGATCCTCATTATGGCGTTGTATCTTGATTAGAAGGTAAGACGGTGACATCAGTTCTAAACGTGTCCTAGTGTCATCGAATACGAAGAGATAAAGCAAATATTTGTGATTAGCTTTTTGACTTAGCAACAAGGGACTGATTCCATATGGTTATCGGTTTTTTATCTGAACAGTAACAGATTGGCGAGACACATTTCAGCATATTTTTGTTAGGTATGAAGAATTCTAGGAAATAATTGACTGTTAACGTCGAATAATGTGCTTTTGAATGGAACGTTAGCATCTGTTAGCTTAGTACAGTGCTTTACATTATATGGGTCTGCTACTGGGCAATGTAAACCATATATAAACTTGCAGATGCAGTGATTAATGTACCTCAGTACCTGTACTAATATGTACCACAGTTACCTGTACTATATGTACCTCAGTACCTGTAACTAATATGTACCCCTCGGAACCGTTAACTAATGTACCACAATTACCTGTATAAAATGTAATCCCAAGACCTGTACTATATGTATCGTAGAATTGCAGACTATATTAGTAAATAATGTGTTTTAGTCCAACTGTAATACAAATGATATCTGTTAATTAGATGTAACGTGTATTTAATTACTTTATAGCTATTGAAAAAATTATGGCATCAAGGAGTCCCAAGGCCATCAACACCATAAAACCACTACTGCGACTGGTGATCTCCCGAGTTCAAATCAGTCCCGTATGAATCGGACCTGTAACTTATTTAATTCCCAGAAAAATGTGATTGGCATTATGTTTGATTCAAGCCTTATTGGTACAAATATCACTGAAACAAACTGTATTTTTTAACCGGGATGACTTATCTGTGGCAGGTGAGCAGTCCTTTTATAGAGGAGAAAGAGCTGGAGGTTTTGTGAGAAAAGGTAGACATTGCATTCACATTAAGATGTACAATTTATTCTCAATATACTATGGCGATTAAAATGATTATAATGTTTATTATGTTAGACAATACATAACTTTGGTATAAACGAACAACGGGCAAACCAATCTGAAGACAGTGTGTAAGTTTACTTAACAAGTTTTAAAAATAATAATATAAGTTGTTGATGTTTTTAAAATAATTGACCTGTTTACTTTCACAGATGATTGAGTTTGCTAATAAGAATTGGCCTCAGATCCATTAAGTATTCGGAATATGGTCCCACCTATCATCTATTAGGTTTTTTTTATTATTAAAATGTTCTGTCCTGAAAATAATTGGAAGTCCTTCCCTAATAGTTAAGTTTTGAAAAAGCATCAAAATGTTCTTGTTTTCAGTGCTGGTGTGCAAATCAAATGAGAAGTTGACAATCTTCCCATCCATCGGCAATATGAAGAAGCTGTGTTGGACATCTTGTGACCCAGAAAATCCCGGAGAACCAATGGACTTAGTTGATCGTCTGAGAGCAGGACATATCAACATTCCCAAAGCCAATACGTGTGTCGTTTCTGAAAACTGACCTAGTGCACCAACAAGCAATGCATAGCGTACTAACTATTAGCATTGCCTGCAAATGGCTAATTTTCTGCAACTGCCCATCAACAAATTGCCATTACAGCGATACGTGTTTCATGGAAAATTGAGTGTGACGGTCGCCTCCATTTTGGTTTCAATCACGTTCTAGTGGGCACATCATCATATTGGAATGGTTGTGAGTGAATGCTGAAATTAGAGATTGGTTTTTTAAATATATAGGGTAGGGCAAAATGTGTAGTTATACATTTAGTAAAAGTTATTTGGTTTCTTTCTCCAAAGTTTTCTGCTCTTATGGACACAAGTTTTGGATCTGCCAACATGATTACATGAGTGGTAATAATTTTGCTAAGATTGCCCTCCTCTTACAAATTTATGTAATATGAAGATTGTTTCAACGACAACTTATTACAAAATTCAACACTCCTACTGAGCTTACCTGAAATAAAGGTCATTTTATTGGTAGCAGAAGAGTGTTGTTATTGTGTATTACTTTGTGTTTCACCATATTTGATTCAACAAGGTCATTCTGCAACGTTTTGCACATACACAACGATGGAACTTGACACTATGGAACATTATCAGTGTTGTCAATGTTGATAAAAGGCAAGTTGGTGGAAAAAGTGTCTCTATGGAGAAAGCAGCGTTCATCAAAACATTTGATGATCTCACGAAAGAATTAAAAGTCAAAGAGATTGTGACTGACGCCCATGTGCAAATTGCAGCCCTCATGCGTAAGTATTTTTGTCTGTATTATTTGATGTGCTATATTTTGTGCTTACTGCATTTTTGAGCTTTATAATAGATCCAGAACGGGGAAGATATATGGATCATGGAGTTAACCATTCCCTGGATGTCTGGCATGCTGAAAAAAATCTAACTAAGAGGCTTCATGCTGTAAGTGATAGTTCATATCGTTTCTCATTCAATTATTTTTTATAGACATAACCAAAACTAATAACTTTGATAGGCGGGTGTCCTAGCAGGTCAAAAACAAATCCTTGGGTGGATCAAGGACATTGTTAACCATTTTTGGTATGCCTGTCAGCATGCAAGCAGCCGAGAAGAGTTCATGGTAAGTAAAGTAGAACTAGAATTTATCTTCTCATTTTTACTATACCTTTTCAGTTTCTTATGTTTGCTTATTAGGACATTTGGCGAGGTGTACTGCACCATGTTAGTGGCGTGCATGAGTGGGACCTGGGTAGATGCCTTCATGGTCCTTTGGGGGATGATGGCACTAAAGAGCCTGTACCAACTGGCTCTAAAGCACATGTGGCACTGTCACAGATCGTGCTGAACCGCAGATGGCTGAAGGATGTGGAGAAGTTCCTCACATTTCGGTAAGAGATCAGTTTTTGTTTTTTTGAATGATTTGTGTTTCTTCTATTTCCTACTTACTTTCCCTGCAGGACCACCTCACAGCTGGAATCATTCCAAAACCATATTCTGATGTATGCCGGAAAGCGGTTTGCTTTTTCATTTTTTGTTTATGAAGCAAGAACACTTCTCGCAGCTTTGGACTACAATCACCACAACAACCGTCCGGCACATGTGTACAGCAAAGGCCAAGTGTCGTAAGTATCATTCACTACTTCCTATTGACAAGTCATAAATATAGTTGTCTTCTAACGTGAAATTACTTATCTTGTAGCCTAAAGAGACTGTACAGCAAAAAATCGAAACGGTATCGGGTACACACTGTCAAAGAAGCAAAGGATTACAACTACATTCCTGACCTTCAGACACAAATCATTGGCAGACGACTTCAGTCTGCTGGTGGCCTCCCAACCAGACGGAGGATCATACCGGAGGACCCACGAGCACTTGGACCAGTATATACACAAACGGTTGTTGGTGTTATCATCACTCTCTTTACACAACCAAAACATATATGTGATTGCTCCGTGTGTGATAACTTTCTGTAAAGCATGGAACTGCTGCAGGAGCAGGGACGAGGCGCACAGAGCAGACTGCTTCGAAAGAACCGAAGGAAAAGCAGTTTGGGCTCATGGCAGAGCCTGATATACAGGAGACTGTGGAATATCTAACATATATCATTTGTTTTGCACTGTTCCTGTCTTTGTTTGAGCTAAGACTTTCACTTTTATTACTGTACTTTTTCATCTCATTTGTCACTGTTGTCTTTCTGTTCATTTTTTTTTTTTTTTTTATTAAGTCCATTGCTTAATAATGTTATTGAGTGAATCTAGACCTCCTTTAAACACATTTGAGCAAAAATCATGTGATATTGCTTTATATATATTGATTATTCTTTTTTTGCTTACAGCGTGTTGCAGTCCGACAACAAGAAATAGTCAATTCTGCCCCACCTGTGGAAAATGTCAAAGCGCGCTGGCCAGCACTTCATACAGAGAGACAGGTGTGTACACATTTTTTACATCTATGCATTTAACTTGAAGTGTTTTATGTTGTTTTTTTTGCAGGTCCTGGCAGAATTTAACCAGATCACCAGCTCCAAACTGGGCAATGATTTCGTTGAAGCATTGGATTGCCTAACGACACAGTTCATCAAGCTCTTTAAGGCCAAAAGGGGGTCTGCTGGCGCTAAGCTTTCCAAGATTGTCCGGCACCTCGATTCCTGTGTAAGTTCATAAAGCAATAACAAAAAGAAATGACATATGATTGTGTTTGGTGTTGAAATGCACATATGTACAGCAGAGGAGATGGGGAAAGGAGAAAGGTACACATCAAAAGAGGTACTGCTGCATTTTGTATCCTAAGATTTTTGGTACAATTGTAGATTGTCATTTTACATTTTTCACGTGTTTGTAGATGGTGGAACTGCAGGAAAACCCTGGTGACCGAGAGATCCTTAAAGATTATAATTCTGTGAGATCACTAAGTCACCGCTCTCGAAGACAACTTGTCGACCTTCTCGTCAGTGACATGAGTGAAACACATGGGTATGTTGTATCCCTCAGTTAATACTCAAAAGTTCCTTCTTACAAGTGGAAGGATATTTACTCAAAATAAAATGTAAATCACTTGAAAGACCTTTCACAATAATCACGTAACAATTCAGTTTCTCTCAGCACTGTTATTGATTCCCCATTGTAAGATAAATAGTACTTATCTCTTTTATAAATGACCTAGGTAGATGTTCTCCTGTAGATTATCTCTTGGTTAGGTCCCTGTGAAAATATGTACTTGTAGATACTATTAATTTAGCCTTTTTATGTAACCATGAAGTCCTTTGACCATGAGTGTTTTTTTCTCCTTAGACAAATGCCTTCCTGAAAACAAAAAAAGCTATGCTCTTAGAATTATCACACTTTTTTCATTGAAGGATCCATTTTCTCAAAAAGGTTATGTAAGTATTGTTAATGTATCCATGGAAATTGAATTTGGTTTACCTACACGTTTTGTGTCGGTAATGGATATGTATAGATAACAATTATAACTGTACACTTTGTTTTCAGACTAATCTCGCCTCGTAATGAGACGGTGACCTCCTATTTGCTTAACACAATATCTGCAATACAATGTGAACAATAAGTCCACATTTCCACGATGTTGATAAAGACGACATTGTGTGTAAGTGTTTTACTGTTTCTCCCTTTAACCTGGTTTTAAACATTGTCAGAGAGGAGCTTTAGCTGTGCTACAACTGAGGTATTTTATATTTATCTTTGTTAATGTACTGTGATTATTTATTTTAATGCTTTCTTATTTTGCTCAGCACTTCGAGTTGCATTGTGTATGAATTGTGCTAGACAAATAAACTTGCCTTGCCATCGTACTTCCTGGTTCTGGTCAGGACTTGAGCTGCTGCATTTTGGATGTACTGCAGCTGTTTTACAGCCTGTTTGGACAGACCTGTGAGCAGGCCATTGCAGTAGTCTAACCTACTGGAGACTAATGCATGGATAAGAATCTCCAGGTCTGCTTTAGACACTATGTTTAGATGGGGAAAAAGGATTTGATGTGGCTAATAATATTTACTGATTCTTTCAGCCGCTGGAATCGAGACCGAGTGTGCTAGAAAGTGACAAAGTGGAACTCTGGAAGTCCGCCACGGTAGACCTAATGTCCAATGAAGAAGAAGGCGTTGTGGACGGTGTCTCTGGATGGATTGTGCGGTCGCCGTCTTTTCGAAAGCCGGAGTTTTCTGAACTCTGTCAAGCTGCAGTACCGGTTAGAGGCGGTGCGGAAGTACAGAGCCACGCACATTAAGCGTCTATCTAGAACCCTGCCAAATTACAACCCCGAGGAGGCTATTTGGACAGTTCCGAGTTGTAATTTTTTAATTACCTATGTGTGAGCATAAAGCTGTGTGTGTGTGTGTGTGTGTGTGTGTTTTAATAAAGCTTTCTTTGTATGAACATATTCCTGGAAAATTTTCATTTCTTCTATAAATAATACGAATATTTATATAAATATTATTACATTAATTATGAGGCAGGGTGACCAATAGTGACAGATCTGCCAGCCAATCACGAGAGATTATACTTATTTGAAAGTAGTGATTTCATCCAATGGGGAGTAAGCTACCAATGGGGAGTAATCCACCAATGGGGAGTAATCCCACGTGTGATTTTTCAGCCAATCACGAGTTTGAAAGTAGTGGTATTCACCAATGCTGAATAGCAGCCTGGCCAGCCGCTGCATTCATATGCTAATTAGGGCCATTAGCGCTCGGCGGCCGCAGTGTTTCGCTGCATTCATATGCAAAGTAGGGACATTAGCATGGTACGGATACGGCAGTTTGGAGGACAGGGCACCCTAACTGCGCCTTCTGAAAACTGCCTGAGATACCCGAAAAAGAGCGTGATTTCCTGCAGTTTAGGGTGACGAAAATCTAACTTTTCATGCAGTGTGGTTCTCGACACAAACCAAATATATTTGGTCCAAACCAGGACTTTGGACTAGAACAGACTTAGACACGGTTTTATGGTTTTATGAGGCATTATCAGAAAGTTTAAGTTCAAGGACTCTAAACCTTTGATCTATATTATCTAAACAGAAACGTTAAAAACCTGTGACACTGAAGAGGATTGGACTGTTTGACCTGAAAACCACTTTTTATATCCTCTTGTTTAGTAAATGATTTAAAACTCACTTTTAATTGGAATGGAACAAATGTACTGATGGTTTGAAAAGTCTTGAACACAAAACTGTAGTTTGTACATTTGTTTGTTTTTATCTTTTTTTTGTAACGTGGACACATAAAATGTTTTTGATTCTTCTTTGGATTTCTTCTTTTGAGCTCATGTTTAAGGTCTATTCTCTTGGTTTAGTTTATTATTCAGGACCAAAAAGCGCCACTTTTCACACCAGGATCATTTGCTTAGTGTTCACTGCATAAAATCAACTTTAAGAATTGTAAGAATGAACAATGGTAGAAAATATTTAACAATAATAAAGATTACTTTCTACTTTATTTATTGTATGTAATATTTAGCAATGTATAATTAATAGTGTTTATAAATGTAATGTATATAAATATATTATCTATGACGTATCGGGCAGTTTGGTCTGAAATGTGCTGTATGAATAAAGGTGACTTTATTAGTGTTTAGAAAAGTCCTCATATGTCTAGAAGGGTTTTTGGAAATGAAAGTAGTAATAATGATTGTAATTAAATGTAATAAAATGACGTGGAGCAGTTCTCCAGTAGGTGGCGCTCTTGTTACGTTAACAGCACCGCGCCTTTCCCCAGCAGTAGTTTGTCCCTGCAGGCCTCCGTCCACAGCAGAACGCCTCTCAGACCACAGGACCAGGCTTTACCAAGGAGTCAGAGTTCAGCAGAGTTCTAATGTCAGAGGTGGTTCTGGAGTTCCGGGCCTCTGCCGGGGACTCGGAGCCTCAGAAACGCCCGGTTCTGTTGCTCGGGACTCGGGAGAATCTGCTGCAGCTGAACTGGACCCAGGTCAAAGGGAAACTGGAGCCCGCGGTCTGCAAAGAGGTGCTAATGCTACAGGCTAATGCTACAGGCTAATGCTACAGGCTAATGCTACAGGCTAATGCTACAGGCTAATGCTACAGGCTAATGCTACAGGCTAATGCTACAGGCTAATGCTACAGGCTAATGCTACAGGCTAATGCTACAGGCTAATGCTACAGGCTAATGCTACAGGCTAATGCTACAGGCTAATGCTACAGGCTAATGCTAACTACTGTCACAGGCTAATGCTACAGGCTAATGCTACAGGCTAATGCTACAGGCTAATGCTACAGGCTAATGCTACAGGCTAATGCTAACTACTGTCACAGGCTAATGCTACAGGCTAATGCTACAGGCTAATGCTACAGGCTAATGCCACAGGCTAATGCTTACAGGCTAATGCTACAGGCTAATGCTACAGGCTAATGCTACAGGCTAATGCTACAGGCTAATGCTACAGGCTAATGCTACAGGCTAATGCTACAGGCTAATGCTACAGGCTAATGCTACAGGCTAATGCTACAGGCTAATGCTAACTACTGTCACAGGCTAATGCTAACTACTGTCACAGGCTAATGCCACAGGCTAATGCTACAGGCTAATGCTACAGGCTAATGCTACAGGCTAATGCTACAGGCTAATGCTAACTACTGTCACAGGCTAATGCTACAGGCTAATGCTACAGGCTAATGCTAACTACTGTCACAGGCTAATGCTACAGGCTAATGCTACAGGCTAATGCTACAGGCTAATGCTACAGGCTAATGCTAACTACTGTCACAGGCTAATGCTCACTACTGTCACAGGCTAATGCTACAGGCTAATGCTACAGGCTAATGCTACAGGCTAATGCTAACTACTGTCACAGGCTAATGCTAACTACTGTCACAGGCTAATGCTACAGGCTAATGCTAACTACTGTCACAGGCTAATGCTAACTACTGTCACAGGCTAATGCTACAGGCTAATGCTAACTACTGTCACAGGCTAATGCTAACTACTGTCACAGGCTAATGCTACAGGCTAATGCTAACTACTGTCACAGGCTAATGCTAACTAGCTTTACTACTATTCCTACTACTACTCATACTATTCCTACTACTACTCATACTATTCCTACTACTACTCATACTATTCCTACTACTACTCATACTATTCCTACTACTACTCATACTATTCCTACTACTACTCATACTATTCCTACTACTTCAGTGTTAAGTGTATGTGACACATTTACATTTATTGGTCCTGCAGTTGGGAAATTTAAGTGTTGCATTACAAGTTACAAAACAGTAGGTCCGAGGAGCACACAAGATCTCTAACTCTAGCATCAGAGGTTAGCATCAGAGGTTAGCATCAGAGGTTAGCATCAGAGGTTAGCATCAGAGGTTAGCATCAGTGTAGGGCTGGGCAATTAATTAGCGTTTGACAAAAATCGAATTTGTGAAAAATGTGAAAGTCGTGAAGTCGAACGAACGATATTGTGAGAGTTCCAGCATACTGCAATATCAGCACAGTCTGTACTTTTATAATACGTATTGGGGGAAAAAATAAAATATAGTTTATAAACTTGAATATTGAGCAGAAAGGTCAGGTGTACAACAACTTTAAGGTGTTGTTGTTGTTGTTGTTGTTGTTGTAGACCTGGCAGGCGGCGCTCTCTGCACTGAACCCAAACCCTACTGACAGCTGTCCTCTGTATCTGAACGTGGCCACAGTCGCCTCGCTCCCAGCCAGAGTCAGCCGCCACAACAGCCCGTCTGCGGCGCACTTCCTGTCCCGCCTGGTGCGCTCTTGTCTTCCCACCGGAAACAACCGCTGCATTGTGGTCAGTCATTAATTAACATTGTGATATGGTTCTAAATGTGTAACATGGGACTAATGACACCATGTGGGTCTGTGCGTCTGGTGTGTGTGCAGATGGTTTGTGAGCGCTCTGATGTCTTTGCCTCGGCCTGTGCCATCTCCAGAGCCTTCCCGCTCTTCTCCCGCCGCTCCTCAGCCTCACGGCGAGCGGAGAAGAAGCGAGTGACGGTGGAGTTTGTGACGGTGGGAGCAGACAGCAGTCCTCTGGGAGCCCCAGAGCTGCAGGTGATGTCACACGTCTGAGATCCTCCACATGGTCCTCAGTGTTAATGAATCCACATGATCTCATCTTTTATACTTTGGTCCACAGTGTTTGTCGAACGCGTCCGATGGCGTCCGGCTGGCGGCTCGCATCGTAGACACTCCGTGCAACGAGATGAACACGGACCACTTTCTGGAGGTTTCACTTTGGATTCTTTTGATGAAAATAACCAGGAAAATAAAGCAGTTACTATGAAGAGAAAAGTTTTTGTTTTATTTTAGAACATTGTGAAAAGTGTTTGTAGCTTCTAATAATGAAGCTATTGTTTTTAAAACATATCTGGAACATCTGTGTTTGTACTTCCAGGAAGTCAAAGTGGTCGGTGCTGAACTGGGAATTGCACCAGTGATCATTCGAGGAGAAGAACTCAAACTCAAAGGATTTGGAGGTAACCTCCTTCTTCACTGTCCCATGGTCTGTTGTGGAGGTGTCCCATGGTCTGAGACTGTTGTGGAGGTGTCCCATGGTCTGTTGTGGAGGTGTCCCATGGTCTGTTGTGGAGGTGTCCCATGGTCTGAGACTGTTGTGGAGGTGTCCCATGGTCTGAGACTGTTGTGGAGGTGTCCCATGGTCTGTTGTGGAGGTGTCCCATGGTCTGAGACTGTTGTGGAGGTGTCCCATGGTCTGTTGTGGAGGTGTTCCATGGTCTGTTGTGGAGGTGTCCCATGGTCTGTTGTGGAGGTGTCCCATGGTCTGAGACTGTTGTGGAGGTGTCCCATGGTCTGAGACTGTTGTGGAGGTGTCCCATGGTCTGTTGTGGAGGTGTTCCATGGTCTGAGACTGTTGTGGAGGTGTCCCATGGTCTGTTGTGGAGGTGTCCCATGGTCTGAGACTGTTGTGGAGGTGTCCCATGGTCTGAGACTGTTGTGGAGGTGTCCCATGGTCTGTTGTGGAGGTGTTCCATGGTCTGAGACTGTTGTGGAGGTGTCCCATGGTCTGAGACTGTTGTGGAGGTGTCCCATGGTCTGTTGTGGAGGTGTTCCATGGTCTGAGACTGTTGTGGAGGTGTTCCATGGTCTGAGACTGTTGTGGAGGTGTTCCATGGTCTGAGACTGTTGTGGAGGTGTTCCATGGTCTGAGACTGTTGTGGAGGTGTCCCATGGTCTGAGACTGTTGTGGAGGTGTCCCATGGTCTGAGACTGTTGTGGAGGTGTCCCATGGTCTGAGACTGTTGTGGAGGTGTCCCATGGTCTGTTGTGGAGGTGTTCCATGGTCTGTTGTGGAGGTGTTCCATGGTCTAAGACTGTTGTGGAGGTGTCCCATGGTCTGAGACTGTTGTGGAGGTGTCCCATGGTCTGTTGTGGAGGTGTCCCATGGTCTGTTGTGGAGGTGTCCCATGGTCTGTTGTGGAGGTGTCCCATGGTCTGTTGTGGAGGTGTCCCATGGTCTGAGACTGTTGTGGAGGTGTCCCATGGTCTGAGACTGTTGTGGAGGTGTCCCATGGTCTGTTGTGGAGGTGTTCCATGGTCTGAGACTGTTGTGGAGGTGTCCCATGGTCTGAGACTGTTGTGGAGGTGTCCCATGGTCTGTTGTGGAGGTGTTCCATGGTCTGAGACTGTTGTGGAGGTGTTCCATGGTCTGAGACTGTTGTGGAGGTGTCCCATGGTCTGAGACTGTTGTGGAGGTGTCCCATGGTCTGAGACTGTTGTGGAGGTGTCCCATGGTCTGTTGTGGAGGTGTTCCATGGTCTAAGACTGTTGTGGAGGTGTCCCATGGTCTGAGACTGTTGTGGAGGTGTCCCATGGTCTGTTGTGGAGGTGTCCCATGGTCTGAGACTGTTGTGGAGGTGTCCCATGGTCTGAGACTGTTGTGGAGGTGTCCCATGGTCTGTTGTGGAGGTGTCCCATGGTCTAAGACTGTTGTGGAGGTGTTCCATGGTCTGAGACTGTTGTGGAGGTGTCCCATGGTCTGTTGTGGAGGTGTCCCATGGTCTGTTGTGGAGGTGTCCCATGGTCTGAGACTGTTGTGGAGGTGTCCCATGGTCTGAGACTGTTGTGGAGGTGTTCCATGGTCTGAGACTGTTGTGGAGGTGTCCCATGGTCTGAGACTGTTGTGGAGGTGTTCCATGGTCTGAGACTGTTGTGGAGGTGTCCCATGGTCTGAGACTGTTGTGGAGGTGTCCCATGGTCTGTTGTGGAGGTGTTCCATGGTCTGAGACTGTTGTGGAGGTGTCCCATGGTCTGAGACTGTTGTGGAGGTGTCCCATGGTCTAAGACTGTTGTGGAGGTGTCCCATGGTCTGAGACTGTTGTGGAGGTGTTCCATGGTCTGAGACTGTTGTGGAGGTGTCCCATGGTCTGTTGTGGAGGTGTCCATGGTCTGAGACTGTTGTGGAGGTGTCCCATGGTCTGAGACTGTTGTGGAGGTGTCCCATGGTCTGAGACTGTTGTGGAGGTGTCCCATGGTCTGAGACTGTTGTGGAGGTGTCCCATGGTCTGAGACTGTTGTGGAGGTGTTCCATGGTCTGAGACTGTTGTGGAGGTGTCCCATGGTCTGAGACTGTTGTGGAGGTGTCCCATGGTCTAAGACTGTTGTGGAGGTGTTCCATGGTCTGTTGTGGAGGTGTCCCATGGTCTGAGACTGTTGTGGAGGTGTCCCATGGTCTGAGACTGTTGTGGAGGTGTCCCATGGTCTGAGACTGTTGTGGAGGTGTTCCATGGTCTGAGACTGTTGTGGAGGTGTCCCATGGTCTGAGACTGTTGTGGAGGTGTCCCATGGTCTGAGACTGTTGTGGAGGTGTTCCATGGTCTGAGACTGTTGTGGAGGTGTCCCATGGTCTGAGACTGTTGTGGAGGTGTCCCATGGTCTGAGACTGTTGTGGAGGTGTCCCATGGTCTGAGACTGTTGTGGAGGTGTCCCATGGTCTGAGACTGTTGTGGAGGTGTCCCATGGTCTGTTGTGGAGGTGTCCCATGGTCTGAGACTGTTGTGGAGGTGTCCCATGGTCTAAGACTGTTGTGGAGGTGTCCCATGGTCTGAGACTGTTGTGGAGGTGTTCCATGGTCTGAGACTGTTGTGGAGGTGTCCCATGGTCTGTTGTGGAGGTGTCCCATGGTCTGAGACTGTTGTGGAGGTGTCCCATGGTCTAAGACTGTTGTGGAGGTGTCCCATGGTCTGAGACTGTTGTGGAGGTGTCCCATGGTCTGTTGTGGAGGTGTCCTATGGTCTAAGACTGTTGTGGAGGTGTCCCATGGTCTGTTGTGGAGGTGTCCCATGGTCTGAGACTGTTGTGGAGGTGTCCCATGGTCTAAGACTGTTGTGGAGGTGTCCCATGGTCTGAGACTGTTGTGGAGGTGTCCCATGGTCTGTTGTGGAGGTGTCCCATGGTCTAAGACTGTTGTGGAGGTGTCCCATGGTCTAAGACTGTTGTGGAGGTGTCCCATGGTCTAAGACTGTTGTGGAGGTGTCCCATGGTCTGAGACTGTTGTGGAGGTGTCCCATGGTCTGAGACTGTTGTGGAGGTGTCCCATGGTCTAAGACTGTTGTGGAGGTGTCCCATGGTCTGTTGTGGAGGTGTCCCATGGTCTAAGACTGTTGTGGAGGTGTCCCATGGTCTGTTGTGGAGGTGTCCCATGGTCTGAGACTGTTGTGGAGGTGTCCCATGGTCTGAGACTGTTGTGGAGGTGTCCCATGGTCTGTTGTGGAGGTGTCCCATGGTCTAAGACTGTTGTGGAGGTGTTCCATGGTCTGAGACTGTTGTGGAGGTGTCCCATGGTCTGTTGTGGAGGTGTCCCATGGTCTGTTGTGGAGGTGTCCCATGGTCTGAGACTGTTGTGGAGGTGTCCCATGGTCTGAGACTGTTGTGGAGGTGTCCCATGGTCTGAGACTGTTGTGGAGGTGTTCCATGGTCTGAGACTGTTGTGGAGGTGTCCCATGGTCTGAGACTGTTGTGGAGGTGTCCCATGGTCTGAGACTGTTGTGGAGGTGTCCCATGGTCTGAGACTGTTGTGGAGGTGTCCCATGGTCTGAGACTGTTGTGGAGGTGTCCCATGGTCTGAGACTGTTGTGGAGGTGTTCCATGGTCTGAGACTGTTGTGGAGGTGTCCCATGGTCTGAGACTGTTGTGGAGGTGTCCCATGGTCTGAGACTGTTGTGGAGGTGTCCCATGGTCTGAGACTGTTGTGGAGGTGTCCCATGGTCTGTTGTGGAGGTGTCCCATGGTCTAAGACTGTTGTGGAGGTGTCCCATGGTCTAAGACTGTTGTGGAGGTGTCCCATGGTCTGAGACTGTTGTGGAGGTGTTCCATGGTCTGAGACTGTTGTGGAGGTGTCCCATGGTCTGTTGTGGAGGTGTCCCATGGTCTGAGACTGTTGTGGAGGTGTCCCATGGTCTAAGACTGTTGTGGAGGTGTCCCATGGTCTGAGACTGTTGTGGAGGTGTCCCATGGTCTGTTGTGGAGGTGTCCTATGGTCTAAGACTGTTGTGGAGGTGTCCCATGGTCTGTTGTGGAGGTGTCCCATGGTCTGAGACTGTTGTGGAGGTGTCCCATGGTCTAAGACTGTTGTGGAGGTGTCCCATGGTCTGAGACTGTTGTGGAGGTGTCCCATGGTCTGTTGTGGAGGTGTCCCATGGTCTAAGACTGTTGTGGAGGTGTCCCATGGTCTAAGACTGTTGTGGAGGTGTCCCATGGTCTAAGACTGTTGTGGAGGTGTCCCATGGTCTGAGACTGTTGTGGAGGTGTCCCATGGTCTGAGACTGTTGTGGAGGTGTCCCATGGTCTAAGACTGTTGTGGAGGTGTCCCATGGTCTGTTGTGGAGGTGTCCCATGGTCTAAGACTGTTGTGGAGGTGTCCCATGGTCTGTTGTGGAGGTGTCCCATGGTCTGAGACTGTTGTGGAGGTGTCCCATGGTCTGAGACTGTTGTGGAGGTGTCCCATGGTCTGTTGTGGAGGTGTCCCATGGTCTAAGACTGTTGTGGAGGTGTTCCATGGTCTGAGACTGTTGTGGAGGTGTCCCATGGTCTGTTGTGGAGGTGTTCCATGGTCTGTTGTGGAGGTGTTCCATGGTCTGAGACTGTTGTGGAGGTGTCCCATGGTCTGAGACTGTTGTGGAGGTGTCCCATGGTCTGAGACTGTTGTGGAGGTGTCCCATGGTCTGTTGTGGAGGTGTCCCATGGTCTAAGACTGTTGTGGAGGTGTTCCATGGTCTGAGACTGTTGTGGAGGTGTCCCATGGTCTGTTGTGGAGGTGTTCCATGGTCTAAGACTGTTGTGGAGGTGTCCCATGGTCTAAGACTGTTGTGGAGGTGTCCCATGGTCTGAGACTGTTGTGGAGGTGTCCCATGGTCTAAGACTGTTGTGGAGGTGTCCCATGGTCTAAGACTGTTGTGGAGGTGTCCCATGGTCTGAGACTGTTGTGGAGGTGTTCCATGGTCTGAGACTGTTGTGGAGGTGTCCCATGGTCTGAGACTGTTGTGGAGGTGTTCCATGGTCTGAGACTGTTGTGGAGGTGTCCCATGGTCTGAGACTGTTGTGGAGGTGTCCCATGGTCTGAGACTGTTGTGGAGGTGTTCCATGGTCTGAGACTGTTGTGGAGGTGTCCCATGGTCTGAGACTGTTGTGGAGGTGTCCCATGGTCTGAGACTGTTGTGGAGGTGTTCCATGGTCTGAGACTGTTGTGGAGGTGTTCCATGGTCTGAGACTGTTGTGGAGGTGTCCCATGGTCTGAGACTGTTGTGGAGGTGTCCCATGGTCTGAGACTGTTGTGGAGGTGTCCCATGGTCTGTTGTGGAGGTGTTCCATGGTCTGAGACTGTTGTGGAGGTGTCCCATGGTCTGAGACTGTTGTGGAGGTGTCCCATGGTCTGTTGTGGAGGTGTTCCATGGTCTGTTGTGGAGGTGTTCCATGGTCTGAGACTGTTGTGGAGGTGTCCCATGGTCTGAGACTGTTGTGGAGGTGTCCCATGGTCTGTTGTGGAGGTGTTCCATGGTCTGTTGTGGAGGTGTTCCATGGTCTGAGACTGTTGTGGAGGTGTCCCATGGTCTGAGACTGTTGTGGAGGTGTCCCATGGTCTGAGACTGTTGTGGAGGTGTCCCATGGTCTGTTGTGGAGGTGTTCCATGTGGTCTGTTGTGGAGGTGTTCCATGGTCTAAGACTGTTGTGGAGGTGTCCCATGGTCTGAGACTGTTGTGGAGGTGTCCCATGGTCTGTTGTGGAGGTGTCCCATGGTCTGAGACTGTTGTGGAGGTGTCCCATGGTCTGAGACTGTTGTGGAGGTGTCCCATGGTCTGTTGTGGAGGTGTCCCATGGTCTAAGACTGTTGTGGAGGTGTTCCATGGTCTGAGACTGTTGTGGAGGTGTCCCATGGTCTGTTGTGGAGGTGTCCCATGGTCTGTTGTGGAGGTGTCCCATGGTCTGAGACTGTTGTGGAGGTGTCCCATGGTCTGAGACTGTTGTGGAGGTGTCCCATGGTCTGAGACTGTTGTGGAGGTGTTCCATGGTCTGAGACTGTTGTGGAGGTGTCCCATGGTCTGAGACTGTTGTGGAGGTGTCCCATGGTCTGTTGTGGAGGTGTTCCATGGTCTGAGACTGTTGTGGAGGTGTCCCATGGTCTGAGACTGTTGTGGAGGTGTCCCATGGTCTAAGACTGTTGTGGAGGTGTCCCATGGTCTGAGACTGTTGTGGAGGTGTTCCATGGTCTGAGACTGTTGTGGAGGTGTCCCATGGTCTGTTGTGGAGGTGTTCCATGGTCTGAGACTGTTGTGGAGGTGTCCCATGGTCTGTTGTGGAGGTGTTCCATGGTCTGAGACTGTTGTGGAGGTGTCCCATGGTCTGTTGTGGAGGTGTCCCATGGTCTGTTGTGGAGGTGTCCCATGGTCTGAGACTGTTGTGGAGGTGTCCCATGGTCTGAGACTGTTGTGGAGGTGTCCCATGGTCTGAGACTGTTGTGGAGGTGTCCCATGGTCTGAGACTGTTGTGGAGGTGTTCCATGGTCTGAGACTGTTGTGGAGGTGTCCCATGGTCTGAGACTGTTGTGGAGGTGTCCCATGGTCTAAGACTGTTGTGGAGGTGTTCCATGGTCTGTTGTGGAGGTGTCCCATGGTCTGAGACTGTTGTGGAGGTGTCCCATGGTCTGAGACTGTTGTGGAGGTGTCCCATGGTCTGAGACTGTTGTGGAGGTGTTCCATGGTCTGAGACTGTTGTGGAGGTGTCCCATGGTCTGAGACTGTTGTGGAGGTGTCCCATGGTCTGAGACTGTTGTGGAGGTGTTCCATGGTCTGAGACTGTTGTGGAGGTGTCCCATGGTCTGAGACTGTTGTGGAGGTGTCCCATGGTCTGAGACTGTTGTGGAGGTGTCCCATGGTCTGAGACTGTTGTGGAGGTGTCCCATGGTCTGAGACTGTTGTGGAGGTGTCCCATGGTCTGTTGTGGAGGTGTCCCATGGTCTGAGACTGTTGTGGAGGTGTCCCATGGTCTAAGACTGTTGTGGAGGTGTCCCATGGTCTGAGACTGTTGTGGAGGTGTTCCATGGTCTGAGACTGTTGTGGAGGTGTCCCATGGTCTGTTGTGGAGGTGTCCCATGGTCTGAGACTGTTGTGGAGGTGTCCCATGGTCTGAGACTGTTGTGGAGGTGTCCCATGGTCTGTTGTGGAGGTGTCCTATGGTCTAAGACTGTTGTGGAGGTGTCCCATGGTCTGTTGTGGAGGTGTCCCATGGTCTGAGACTGTTGTGGAGGTGTCCCATGGTCTAAGACTGTTGTGGAGGTGTCCCATGGTCTGAGACTGTTGTGGAGGTGTCCCATGGTCTGTTGTGGAGGTGTCCCATGGTCTAAGACTGTTGTGGAGGTGTCCCATGGTCTAAGACTGTTGTGGAGGTGTCCCATGGTCTAAGACTGTTGTGGAGGTGTCCCATGGTCTGAGACTGTTGTGGAGGTGTCCCATGGTCTGAGACTGTTGTGGAGGTGTCCCATGGTCTAAGACTGTTGTGGAGGTGTCCCATGGTCTGTTGTGGAGGTGTCCCATGGTCTAAGACTGTTGTGAGGTGTCCCATGTTGTTGTGGAGGTGTCCCATGGTCTGAGACTGTTGTGGAGGTGTCCCATGGTCTGAGACTGTTGTGGAGGTGTCCCATGGTCTGTGTGAGGTGTCCCATGGTCTAGACTGTTGTGGAGGTGTCCATGGTCTGAGACTGTTGTGGAGGTGTCCCATGGTCTTGTTGTTGGAGGTGTTCCATGGTCTGAGTTGTGGAGGTGTCCATGGTCTGAGACTGTTGTGGAGGTGTCCATGGTCTGAGACTGTGTGGTTTGGATGTGTGAGGTGTCCCATGGTCTGAGACTGTTGTGGAGGTGTTCCATGGTCTGAGACTGTTGTGGAGGTGTCCCATGGTCTGAGACTGTTGTGGAGGTGTCCCATGGTCTGAGACTGTTGTGGAGGTGTTCCATGGTCTGAGACTGTTGTGGAGGTGTCCCATGGTCTGAGACTGTTGTGGAGGTGTTCCATGGTCTGAGACTGTTGTGGAGGTGTCCCATGGTCTGAGACTGTTGTGGAGGTGTCCCATGGTCTGAGACTGTTGTGGAGGTGTTCCATGGTCTGAGACTGTTGTGGAGGTGTTCCATGGTCTGAGACTGTTGTGGAGGTGTTCCATGGTCTGAGACTGTTGTGGAGGTGTTCCATGGTCTGAGACTGTTGTGGAGGTGTCCCATGGTCTGAGACTGTTGTGGAGGTGTTCCATGGTCTAAGACTGTTGTGGAGGTGTCCCATGGTCTAAATGAAATGGAAAAAGTTCTTACATTTGAAGATGCTTCCTCCTTTTTACCCATCCCCTCACTTCAGTTTCTCAGACATCAAAACACAACACATATGGAACCATGTAGAACCTTATGGAACCATGTAGAACCTTATGGAACCATGTAGAACCTTATGGAACCATGTAGAACCTTATAGAACCATGTAGAACCTTATGGAACCATGTAGAACCTTATGGAACCATGTAGAACCTTATGGAACCATGTAGAACCTTATGGAACCATGTAGAACCTTATGGAACCATGTAGAACCTTATGGAACCATGTAGAACCTTATGGAACCATGTAGAACCTTATGGAACCATGTAGAACCTTATGGAACCATGTAGAACCTTATGGAACCATGTAGAACCTTATGGAACCATGTAGAACCTTATGGAACCATGTAGAACCTTATGGAACCATGTAGAACCTTATGGAACCATGTAGAACCTTATGGAACCATGTAGAACCTTATGGAACCATGTAGAACCTTATGGAACCATGTAGAGCCTTATGGAACCATGTAGAACCTTATGGAACCATGTAGAACCTTATAGAACCATGTAGAACCTTATGGAACCATGTAGAACCTTATGGAACCATGTAGAACCTTATGGAACCATGTAGAACCTTATGGAACCATGTAGAACCTTATGGAACCATGTAGAACCTTATGGAACCATGTAGAACCTTATGGAACCATGTAGAACCTTATGGAACCATGTAGAACCTTATAGAACCATGTAGAACCTTATGGAACCATGTAGAACCTTATGGAACCATGTAGAACCTTATGGAACCATGTAGAACCTTATAGAACCATGTAGAACCTTATGGAACCATGTAGAACCTTATGGAACCATGTAGAACCTTATGGAACCATGTAGAACCTTATAGAACCATGTAGAACCTTATGGAACCATGTAGAACCTTATAGAACCATGTAGAACCTTATGGAACCATGTAGAACCTTATAGAACCATGTAGAACCTTATGGAACCATGTAGAACCTTATGGAACCATGTAGAACCTTATGGAACCATGTAGAACCTTATAGAACCATGTAGAACCTTATGGAACCATGTAGAACCTTATAGAACCATGTAGAACCTTATGGAACCATGTAGAACCTTATGGAACCATGTAGAACCTTATGGAACCATGTAGAACCTTATAGAACCATGTAGAACCGTATAGAACCATGTAGAACCTTATGGAACCATGTAGAACCGTATAGAACCATGTAGAACCTTATGGAACCATGTAGAACCTTATGGAACCATGTAGAACCTTATGGAACCATGTAGAACCTTATAGAACCATGTAGAACCTTATGGAACCATGTAGAACCTTATGGAACCATGTAGAACCTTATGGAACCATGTAGAACCTTATAGAACCATGTAGAACCTTATGGAACCATGTAGAACCTTATGGAACCATGTAGAACCTTATGGAACCATGTAGAACCTTATAGAACCATGTAGAACCTTATGGAACCATGTAGAACCTTATAGAACCATGTAGAACCTTATGGAACCATGTAGAACCGTATAGAACCATGTAGAACCTTATGGAACCATGTAGAACCTTATGGAACCATGTAGAACCATGTGGTTCCCCCCCCCTATGCAGCCCATGATCTCTGTATTGTCTGCTGAAGGATGAACCATAAAAGGTTCAGAGACAGTGGTATGTTCTGTTCCTAACTCTAGAGTGAAGTCATTGTAGTCGCTGGTTCTTTTCAGGGATCTATGGAGTGGGAAAAGCTGCAGAACACCCCCCTGCCTTAGCCGTCCTCAGCCACACACCAGCGGGGGCCACGCAGACCATCGCCTGGGTGGGAAAAGGCATCGTCTACGACACTGGAGGACTGAGCATCAAGGGGAAGGTGTGTTCCCAGAACCCTGCTGTCCCTGCACACTTTCACATATTTAATTATTTCAATATGTTCCAGACCACGATGCCAGGAATGAAGCGGGACTGTGGAGGCGCGGCCGCCATCCTGGGAGCGTTCAGAGCCACCATCAAACAGGTCCTTTGGTCTGACACATTTCCTGCTGTTATACCGAGGACATATATTAACGGCTCTGATGCTATCGTCATGACAATAACAGGGATTTAAGGATAACCTCCATGCTGTCTTCTGTCTCGCTGAGAACTCTGTGGGTCCGACTGCGACTCGCCCTGACGATATCCACACGCTCTACTCGGGAAAGTACGTGTTTTATTTATGTACCCGCCATTTGTAATCCTGTTGTAATATCCTGGATCACTTTAATACACTGGGATATTAAACTGTAGTCGTCTGTTTGTGTAGGACTGTGGAGATTAATAACACGGATGCAGAAGGGCGGCTGGTGCTCGCTGACGGAGTGGTCTACGCCAGCAAAGACCTCTCTGCTGACATCATTCTGGACATGGCAACCCTCACCGGGGCTCAGGTCAGGCCTGCTCACTACAGGGCGTATATATAGTTTCCTATTGTAGCCTTGATGGTCTCGCGTGCCTTGATGGTCTCGCGTGCCTTGATGGTCTCGCGTGCCTTGATGGTCTCGCGTGCCTTGATGGTCTTATGTCCGTCTGTGTGCAGGGGATCTCCACAGGGAAGTACCACGCTGCTGTAATGACCAACAATGACCAGTGGGAGGCGGCGTGTGTGCGAGCGGGCCGCAGCAGTGGGGACCTGGCTCACCCTCTGGTCTACTGCCCCGAGATGCACTTCAGCGAGTTCACCTCCGCTTTGGCCGACATGAAGAACTCTGTCGCAGTGAGTGTGCCCGAACCGTGGACACTTCCTGTTTCTCTGTGAACGTTAAAGAGGTTTCAAAGCGGTTTAAGGAAGTGGTGTGAGATCTGAAACTGTCTATACCAAATGTAAAGTTTAACCTGTTTTAGATTCTCTCCAAACACAGTCGTGATAAACTGTGTACCATGTGCAGATGAATAATGGTTTCCACCTGCAGGGGGCACCATGTGCAGATGAATAATGGTTTCCACCTGCAGGGGGCACCATGTGCAGATGAATAATGGTTTCCACCTGCAGGGGGCACCATGTGCAGATGAATAATGGTTTCCACCTGCAGGGGGCACCATGTGCAGATGAATAATGGTTTCCACCTGCAGGGGGCACCATGTGCAGATGAATAATGGTTTCCACCTGCAGGGGGCACCATGTGCAGATGAATAATGGTTTCCACCTGCAGGGGGCACCATGTGCAGATGAATAATGGTTTCCACCTGCAGGGGGCACCATGTGTAGCTGAATAATGGTTTCTTCTGTCTGGTCTCCAGGACCGAGAGAACGCCCAGAGCTCCTGCGCCGGGCTTTTCATTGCGTCCCATTTGGGCTTCGACTGGACCGGGGTCTGGGTCCACGTGGACATCGCGTCACCCGTGCACGCCGTGAGTCTCAAGTGTGGATTATTCAGGCCAAGATCCACTGCCTACAAAGGCTTCAGAAACATTTATCAAAGTCAAAGAAGAGACTCGGATAAATGTTTTATGCAGCAACTTTTAACTTCAAGAACAAAAAATATAACTATCTTCAAGGCTTCGAGCATATTATATACATATTATTACACGCTCCTCACAGCAGCAGCAGAACCATTGATTTAAATGTCATTTCAAAACATTCTACCGGTCATTATTTTCTATAACGGACCTCTCAAAACAATAATGGCCGCTGCCCTTTGGCAACGCACTCACTGCTTGTCTTTCAAATGCGTGGATAACTCTGACAGTAGTTCCGGCCACTCCGGAGCTAGCCACGCTCAATCAACACTTAAATGTTAATCGGAGAATACTTATACATATACATTCTTCACACACGTGCACGGACATTTTCAGAATTTTCTGGTCTTGTCTTCATGACAAAAATACTATTTCTCTGCGTCAAAAAGCGATCGTGAAAAACCCGGAAGTAGTTCTGGCCGCTCAATAAACGCAAATGCCAATCAATCAACGCAATGAAATGTTAATCGGAGAGTGAATTATACATATCCAGTCCACGGAAGTTTTCAGAATTTTCCGTTTACGTTTTCATGACAAAAACACTGATGTAATGCGAGAAAAGGCGATCCCGAAAAACCCGGAAGTAGATACGCCACATTTAAGATACCGGCACATTTTAAGATACCGGCACATTTTAAGATACCGGCACATTTTAAGATACGGCACATTTTAGGAACATTTGCAGAGGATGGAATTATGGATTTAGGTTAAGTTTATGTTTGGGTCACTCACCGCTGATGTTCAGGATTCTGTGTTCAGTTTTCATGCAGTTCCAGGGAGTTCTAGTTTGGAAGTTGCCAGCCTAACTGTTGCTAGCCTAACTGTTACTAGCCTAACTGTTGCTAGCATAGCCACACTGCCTGCCCGCGGTTGCCGAGCAACGGGAAAACTTTTTGGGACTACTTTATTTGTTGTCATTAAATAAACTTTTGGCATTCATAAAAGTGATCTGAAGTTTATGTTGTGTGTTCTGTTGGTATAAAGCCGTATAATAAGCGGGATAACGTAGTACGCAGGTCATTATTATTATTTTCCGATAATGACCTGCGTACTACGTTATCCCGCTTGTTATACGGCTTTATACCAACAGAACACACAACATAAACTTCAGATCACTTTTATGAATGCCAAAAGTTTATTTAATGACAACAAATAAAATAGTTCCCAAAGGCTTTTCTGCGGCTATGCTAGCAACAGTTAGGCTAGTAACAGTTAGGCTAGCAACAGTTAGGCTAGCAACAGTTAGGCTAGTAACAGTTAGGCTAGCAACAGTTAGGCTGGTAACTTCCAAACCAGAACTCTGTGGAACAGCATGAAAACTGAACACAGAATCCTGAACATCAGCGGTGAGTGACCCAAACATAAACTTAACCTAAATCCATAATTCCATCCTCTGCAAATGTTCCTAAAATGTGCCGTATCTACTTCCGGGTTTTTCGGGATCGCCTTTTCTCGCTACATCAGTGTTTTTGTCATGAAAACGGAAAATTCTGAAAACTTCCGTGCACTTGTATTAAGACTGGATATGTATAAAGTATTCTCCGATTATCATTTCATTGCGTTGATTGATTGGCATTTGCGTTTGAGCGTGGCTAGCTCAGGAGTGGCCGGAACTACTTGCGGAGTTATCCACGCATCTGAAAGACAAGCAGAGAGTGCGTTGCCAAAGGGCAGCGGTCATTATTGTTTTGAGAGGTTCGTTATAGAAAATAATGACCTGTAGAACGTTTTGAAATGACATTCAAATCAATGGTTCTGCTGCTGCTGCGAGGAGCGTGTGATATATTTATATATTATATAGAGTTCAGTGATTCAGGATCTATAAAGAATGTGGAACTTTGTGGAGGAAGTGACCTTTGAACGTTATGTACCTTTTCTGAAGTCTCTGCATTTAACAGCAGTATACAGCAGTATACAGCTGTATACAGCTGTATACTGCTGTATACTGCATTATACTGCATTATACAAAAGTCTACATTTGTATAATACTTCTCACTTTGAGTCACGCGCTGCTTACGTATGTTTGGGTCACGTGTCACGGACACACACTTCCTTTTACCGAACTCTGACTCTGATCTTTGGGTTCTGCCAGTCCTCCCAGAGTTCAGCTGTATACTGCAGTATACTCGATACTTCAGAGAAAGTTAAAAATAAATGAATGATATATATTATATATTTTTATCTAAATGATATGGTCACATGACTCTTTGATCTATTGTCAGCTGGTCACATGACTCTTTGATCTATTGTCAGCTGGTCACATGACTCTTTGATCTATTGTCAGCTGGTCACATGACTCTTTGATCTATTGTCAGCTGGTCACATGACTCTTTGATCTATTGTCAGCTGGTCACATGACTCTTTGATCTATTGTCAGCTGGTCACATGACTCTTTGATCTATTGTCAGCTGGTCACATGACTCTTTGTTGTGTTGCAGGGAGAGCGAGCCACTGGGTTCGGCGTGGCTCTGCTCATGGCGCTGTTCGGTCAAGCCTCAGACGACTCCATTTTGAAGCAGGTGTCTCCTCTGAGCTGCGGCGCCGCCAACGACGACGCCAAACGCAGGAGACTGGTCTGACCGTGTTGTGTGACCGTGTCATGTGACATCACTCAACACCATGAAACATATCAATGAATTAAACTAATCCTTGTTTTGAAAAGTATCTTATTGTGGCTTTTGGAAAATAAAGATTGTTTGGGGATTTGAACCCTCCACATGCTGTGGTCCTTCTGCAGCGTTCACCAGCCTCATGTTTGATGATGATGCAGTAAATACTTTTACTTCCTGTCACTTTTTAGATTGAACTTCAAATAAACTCAAACTGAAGCTTGTTTTGTGTTGATCCTGGAGAAAAGAATAAATCTAACAATGGGCTGTGCACCAACAGGAAAAGTACTTTACATTAAAACATTAAAATCTTTGTTTATGACTTTAGTTCTGAAGCCGTCAGCGTCTGAAACCATGTGACATCTGCCACTTTGCTAACTTATCTTTTTATATATATTATATAATATCTGTGACATGAGGTCTGTCGCACTAATGTGGAAAACTTAGACTGTTCAGTAAACATGCAGCAGTTATAAATAATAATTATAATATACAATATATACCTGAATTTAGATTTCACAACATGGACAACACATTGGGGACTGTTATGGTACCAGGGACACATGGTATGAGCTGTAAATATATATATATTAATTATAGTATGAGCTGTAAATAATAAAGGCTGAACCCGAATCTTTGAAGATTATCACCAATTATTATTTTCTACTTTTAAATTAAGAAACTGTTGTAAAAACTACAATAAAGTCTACATTTGTATAATACTTCTCACTTTGAGTCACGCGCTGCTTACGTATGTTTGGGTCACGTGTCACGGACACACACTTCCTTTTACCGAACTCTGACTCTGATCTTTGGGTCCTGCCAGTCCTCCCAGAGTTCGGTCTCTCTCAGGGTTCGGTCTCTCTCAGGGTTCTGTCTCTCTCAGGGTTCGGTCTCTCTCAGGGTTCGGTCTCTCTCAGGGTTCGGTCTCTCTCAGGGTTCGGTCTCTCTCAGGGTTCTGTCTCTCTCAGGGTTCGGTCTCTCTCAGGGTTCGGTCTCTCTCAGGGTTCGGTCTCTCTCAGGGTTCGGTCTCTCTCAGGGTTCTGTCTCTCCCAGGGTCGGTTCGTCTCCCCGGGCTCCCCATGGCTCCTGTGTCCGCCTGGACTGTCCTGTTCTCGGCTGCTCTCTGCGGTGTGTCCGCGGGAGTGTTCTTCAGAGCGGAGCAGCCATGTTATGTTCCCAAACCCAGGAACCACTTTGGTGTGAGGTCAGTGCCTGACTGTGAATATGAATATCTAATATGAATATTAAATATGAATATCTAATATGAATATTGAATATTTAATATGAATATTTAATATGAATATCTAATATGAATATCTAATATGAATATTAAATATGAATATTAAATATGAATATTAAATATCTAATATGAATATTAAATATCTAATATTAATATTAAATATCTAATATGAATATTAAATATGAATATTATTGTTTGTACAGGTGTTTAGAAACTAATCCAACACGTGAAGATTGGAAACTGTTGATCAGATTCCTCCAAGTTCAGCAACCTTTCAGCATGTCTAATGTATATATGTCTAATGTATATATGTCTAATGTACATATGTCTAATGTACATATGTCTAATGTATATATGTCTAATGTACATATGTCTAATGTACATATGTCTAATGTATATATGTCTAATGTATATATGTCTAATGTATATATGTCTAATGTATATATGTCTAATGTATATATGTCTAATGTATATATGTCTAATGTATATATGTCTAATGTATATATGTACTGTGTACAGGTCGGTCCCGCGGCCTCATGAGTGTCTGTGTATATATGTATATACTGTATGTGTATATATATATATATAAATATATAATATATAATGTACTGTGTACAGGTCGGTCCCGCGGCCTCATGAGTACTTGAACGTGTCGCAGTTGCCTGAGTCCTGGGACTGGAGAAACGTCAATGGCACAAACTTTGTCAGTACGACTCGGAACCAGCACATCCCTCAGTACTGCGGCTCCTGCTGGGCCCACGGCAGCACCAGCGCCATGGCCGGTACCACAGCTGCACCACAGACACAGCTGCACCACAGACACAGCTGCACCACAGACACAGCTGCACCACAGCTGCATCTCAAACACCGTCATCATGATGTTTATCCTGCTTCACTTTTCACTTATACTGACTTCAAACAAACTTGTTTAACCCAGGTTAACCCGGGTTAACGTTCAAGTACTCATGAGGCCGCGGGACCGACCTGTACACAGTACATTATATATTATATATTAAGTGTTAACCCAGGTTAACCTGGGTTTAACGTGTGTGAACAGTCCTGGTGTGAACAGTCCTGGTGTGAACAGTCCTGGTTCTGGCCTGGTCCCAAAGTCTCGGCTCGGACCTGTTTTAGTTTCTTTTTTTTGTAATTCTTTTTTTATTGTTATTCGTTACAAGAAAATTTTTGTTTCACACAATAATTTTTACATATTTTAACATATTTTTGATAACCAGAAAAAACAAACAAAAAATAGACAGAAAATTAAAAATAAAATTATTGATGATTATTACAGAATCATACAAACTCTGGACGTTTGGGGATAATGTATGTCTTTTCCATATTTGTCAAACTGTGCATTTTGGAGCCTGTTAAAGAAGGTTATTTTTATTATTATTTTAAAATTGTGCCGTCTGTCGCCTCTGGATTTAGCCATTTTCTGGTGATGGATTTACGAGCTGCTAACCTGAACATTCCAAACAGGCGTTTTGTAGCAAAGTCCGTACTCCCAGAGTCAAGACTGCAGAAAGCAGTTCGTCCCAGTTTAAAGCAAATTGCAACTTCAACATTATTAGGATCTTAGATTGAATATTGTTCCAAAAATTCTGGATTAATGAACACGACCGGAACAGATTCAGGAGTTACGGTAAAGAGCCTCCTCCACCAACTGGACGAGCCTGAATAGTGAGAACTTTGTGCTGGTGTTATAAAAAACCTGCTCGAGCACTTCCAGCCAAAGCATCTTCATGAATTTGCACTTGTGATTTTCCATTGAACAGCGTTTGGACCAACGTCATATCGTAACGTCATTCTTCTCCAACTCATAACGTCTCTGAGTAGAGTTAAAATCCCTCATGTTCTCCTATAAAAAAGTCTACTCTGCAGTCAAGCCTCGACCAGTCCAGCTTTTGTACCTCGTATCCAGTTTGCTCGGCACAACATCAGGGTCATTAGGGGCCCACCTTAGTATTTGGACCTGATCGAAAAAGTTGTGTTTTTTTATACATTTCAGCCACAGCTTCAAAGGTAAATGTAAGGCAAGGCAAGGCATCCATCCATCCATCCATTTTCTTCCCCTTAATCCATTTCTGGGTCGGGGGGTGGCAGTCAGAGCTGCACCCAGTACACATAGCACCAGCCCCTCACTGATCCTCCTGCAGGTGCTGAGTCCACAGGAGCTGAGATCTTTCAGTGGGGGCTTCAGGCAAAGTGGGGTTAAGTGTCTTGCCCAAGGACACAACAACAGCAGTCCTCAGTGGGAGTCGTGAAGTAGGTCTTACGGTGGGCTCGAACCCACGACCTTCAGGCTCAAAGGCCAATGCTCTACCAACTGAGCTACTGTCGCCCTCCTTGCAAGGCAAGGCAAGGCAAGTTTATTTATATAGCACAATTCATACACAAGGCAATTCAAAGTGCTGAACAAAACAAGAAAGCATTAAAATCATAAATTATCACAGAACATTAAAAAGAAAGATAAAAATATAAAATCCCTCAGTTGTAGCACAGCTAAACAGAACTGTTTTTAACCTGGTTTTAAACATTGTCAGAGAGGAGGCCTGTCTCACATCTTCAGGAAGACTGTTCCAGATTTTAGCAGCATGAATCTGAAAAGCAGCCTCCCCATGTTTAGTTCTGACTCTGGACACTAACAGGAGTCCAGTCCCTGTGCTCCTCAGAGTCCCAGCAGGAGTCCAGTCCCTGTGCTCCTCAGAGTCCCAGCAGGAGTCCAGTCCCTGTGCTCCTCAGAGTCCCAGCAGGAGTCCAGTCCCTGTGCTCCTCAGAGTCCCAGCAGGAGTCCAGTCCCTGTGCTCCTCAGAGTCCCAGCAGGAGTCCAGTCCCTGTGCTCCTCAGAGTCCCAGCAGGAGTCCAGTCCCTGTGCTCCTCAGAGTCCGGGCTGGTTCATATGGGACTAACATGTCACTAATATATTTTGGTGCGAGGCCATGGAGAGACTTGTACACGAGCAGAGCTGTTTTAAAGTCTATTCTCTGAGCCACAGGAAGCCAGTGCAGAGACCTGAGAACTGGACTAATGTGGTCGTACTTCCTGGTTCTAGTCAGGACTAATGTGGTCGTACTTCCTGGTTCTAGTCAGGACTAATATGGTCGTACTTCCTGGTTCTAGTCAGGACTAATATGGTCGTACTTCCTGGTTCTAGTCAGGACTAATGTGGTCGTACTTCCTGGTTCTAGTCAGGACTAATGTGGTCGTACTTCCTGGTTCTAGTCAGGACTAATGTGGTCGTACTTCCTGGTTCTAGTCAGGACTAATATGGTCGTACTTCCTGGTTCTAGTCAGGACTGGAGCTGCTGCATTTTGAATGTACTGCAGCTGTTTTACAGCCTGTTTGGACAGACCTGTGAGCAGGCCATTGCAGTAGTCTAACCTACTGGAGACAAATGCATGGATAAGAATCTCCAAGTCTGCTTTAGACACTATGTTTTTGATCCTGGCAATGTTTTTTAGATGGTAAAAAGCTGCTGATGTTACTGATTTGATGTGGCTATTAAAATTTAAGTCTGAGTCCAGTATTACCCCTAGATTTCTGACCTTGTTTGAAGGTTTTAGGGAGAGAGACTGTAGGTGACAGATGACGCTCTCTCTTTGTTTCTGGGGACCAAAGACAATCATTTCAGTTTTGTCTGCGTTTAGCTGAAGGAAGTTGTTTTGCATCCACTCACTGATCTGTTGGATACAGTGAAGGAGTGAGTCCACTGGTCCATGTTCTCCTGCAGTCAGTGAGACATAGATCTGAGTGTCGTCTGCATAGTTATGATAGGAAACTTTGTTTCTGCGTATTAACTGACCTAACGGCAGCATGTAGAGATTGAACAGAAGAGGTCCCAGGATCGACCCCTGTGGTACTCCACAGGTCAGGGCCATATGATCTGAGACACAGTTTCCAATCTCCACAAAGTACTTCCTGTCCTCAAGGTAAGACCTAAACCAACTTAGGGCGGTGCCAGCGACGCCAACCCAGTCCTCTAGTCTCTGTAAGAGGATCTCATGGTCGACAGTGTCAAAGGCAGCACTCAGATCTAACAAGATTAAGATTGAGACTTTGCCTGCGTCAGTGTTCAGCCGGATATCGTTTGTAACCTTAACGAGAGCAGTCTCAGTGCTGTGGTGGGGTCTAAAGCCGGACTGGAACATATCAAATGAGTTGTTGATTATAAGAAATCTAGTAAGCTGTAGGTAGACAACTTTCTCAAGGACTTTCCCCATAAATGGCAGATTTGAGATGGGACGATAGTTGTTAAGTACCGTAGCATCCAGGCTGCTCTTTTTTAGCAGGGGCCTGATGACTGCAGTTTTCAGGGCCTTTGGGAATATTCCAGAATGAAGGGACATGTTTACTATCTGTGTGAGTGAATGTAACAGACTGCTCAGAACAGACTTTAGAAGTCTAGTGGGTAGTACATCCAGGCTGCATGTGGAGGAGCTCAAACTGGAGATTATCTCTTGGACAGTTTTATCATTTACAGGTGCAAAGTGAGTTAGCTCAGAGAGCCTTTCTGGCTGTTGGATTGTTATCTGTGGATTGGAGACAATGGCGTTTTTGATGCCTTGAACCTTGTCATTGAAAAAATGTGCAAACTCATTACATTTACGTTTGGAAGTTAGCTCTAATGGCATCTGAACAGGGGGGGTTTGTTAATCTATTAACTGTTGAAAACAGAACACGCAGATTGTTGCTGCAGCCTTCAATCATTTCAGAAAAATACCTTTCTCTCGTACTACGTAGCACCCGGTTAAACTCGCACAACTTATCTTTGAAGATCTTGTAATCAACCTGGAGGTTGGACTTGCGCCACTTCCGCTCGGCCCTCCGGCACTTTCTCTTCAGTGCTCTGACCGAGTCTGCTTTAGCCCACGGCGCCTTCTGCTTATTTTTCACTATTTTAACCTTCACAGGAGCGATGGTGTCCAGAACATTCAAAACACTAGAGGTGACAGAGTTAAACAGTTCATCTACAGTAGAATACGATGCATTCTCAAAGTTTATCATTCCCATAAATAGTTCACCCGTATTTTCATTTATGTGCCTTCTTCGAACAGTTGCCTCTGCAACTGTTCGAAGTGTTCCACTGGTGGTTTGTTAGTGAAACACATGTCAAAAAAAAACACAGAATTGATCCGAAAGTAAATGTATCCATTGGTCTGTTTCCTAACGAGTCTTTTGTCCCCAGTATGACCGGGAGCGGACAACTGTCAGAGCAGCTCAGCACCAGCACCAGGCTCTAAACTGGGCTGAGCCGCACCAGCCCCAGGCTCTAAACTGGGCTGAGCCGCACCAGCCCCAGGCTCTAAACTGGGCTGAGCCGCACCAGCCCCAGGCTCTAAACTGGGCTGAGCCGCACCAGCCCCAGGCTCTAAACTGGGCTGAGCCGCACCAGCCCCAGGCTCTAAACTGGGCTGAGCCGCACCAGCACCAGGCTCTAAACTGGGCTGAGCCGCACCAGCACCAGGCTCTAAACTGGGCTGAGTCGCACCAGGCTCTAAACTGGGCTGAGCCGCACCAGCACCAGGCTCTAAACTGGGCTGAGTCGCACCAGCACCAGGCTCTAAACTGGGCTGAGTCGCACCAGCACCAGGCTCTAAACTGGGCTGAGTCGCACCAGGCTCTAAACTGGGCTGAGTCGCACCAGCACCAGGCTCTAAACTGGGCTGAGTCGCACCAGGCTCTAAACTGGGCTGAAGTGTGATGATCCTTAAACAGGGCCGGGCTAGTCCTCCGCTCTCATTTGGGAATTGAAGAGTTTTTAACCTTAGTCTCGGTCTTTTCCCTTGCCATATCAATTTAGAAATTCACTTATCCCAATGGTTGAATTGTTCATTGGAAGTTTGAATGGGGACAGTCTGGGTAGAATGTTAATAAAGCCTATTGCTTTCACAATGGTTAAAACAAATGTTGGTGGTGAGTGACGGACGCATCAGCCCCCAAAAATCAGACCTGGTGAAAAATGTGATATTTTGGTGTTTATTTTTATGGGACTCAAAAAATGCCAGAACAGCGCCACCTACAACAGCCAAAATAATACCCCTATGGGAGTTCTGAAGATCAAGTTTGTCGTAGAGCCATGAAATTTGGTACATGTTCCTCAAGTCAAGACAAGAAAAAAATATTATTATGGCTCCGCCCTCTGACAAACAGGAAGCCCATAAATGTCACTGCAAAATGGAAAAATGAACAGCAAAAGTTCTCATACATGTCGGTTGGAAAGCGACTCCTCCTCGGCCGTTTCACCGATTCGCCTCAAAATCGCTCCACATCATCTCAACACATGTACCTTCAAAATTTCCTCAGGGATTTTTGATCAGTGAAACATTGTTTGAGCAGCGGAGCGGCAAAATATGACCTTTTTTTGCCATTTTTCATGATCAAAAAACAGCTCCCGTTTGCACAAACAAAGTCTGATTTGCACAAAACTTTAACACATTGTTTAACTCTAGGATCTAGGTCATTTGAAAGTGAAATATTTGAAATTGGCCCATTAGTGCCCCCTAGAGATGGGGTCAAAGTTTTACATTGGAAGCCAAACCAACTCCACTCATCATATTCATTACACTTTCTTTCTTTTATGGCTACGGGACCAAATAATGGCGCGGCAGCGGCACATCCAATAAGCGGGGCGGCGTGGTGCGGCTTGGTGCAGGGCGGCGTGGTGCGGCTTGGTGCAGGGCGGCGTGGTGCGGCTTGGTGCAGGGCGGCGTGGTGCGGCTTGGTGCAGGGCGGCGTGGTGCGGCTTGGTGCAGGGCGGCGTGGTGCGGCTTGGTGCAGGGCGGCGTGGTCGGCTTGGTGCAGGGCGGCGTGGTGCGGCTTGGTGCAGGGCGGCGTGGTGCGGCTTGGTGCAGGGCGGCGTGGTGCGGCTTGGTGCAGGGCGGCGTGGTGCGGCTTGGTGCAGGGCGGCGTGGTGCGGCTTGGTGCAGGGCGGCGTGGTGCGGCTTGGTGCAGGGCGGCGTGGTGCGGCTTGGTGCGGCTTGGTGCAGGGCGGCGTGGTGCGGCTTGGTGCAGGGCGGCGTGGTGCGGCTTGGTGCAGGGCGGCGTGGTGTGAGCAGTGGGGGAGGGTCCCAACTCAAAAGTGGCCAAAATGACGTGCGCTGACATGCTGCAATACCACCCCGGGCCTGTGGGGGCGGCGTTGTGCGTGGAGGCGTGGTCCGGCACGATGTGGCGTGGTGCGGTGCGGCGAGGGACTGTCTCCACCCGGGATTCAGAGTTAAATATCGGTAGCAGGTCCCATCTTCTGATATCATTATGGTTTTTTTCAATCAAGGGTTTATTATTTACCTCGATTCGTTTAGATTGGTCTTATTCACACCGAGATACTTTTTTTATGTATTTTTTATTAACATTTTATTCAGCAATACAGAAAAAAGACAAACATATGAAAACGTGTGTGTGTGTGTGTGTGTGTGTGTGTGTGTGTGTGTGTGTGTGTGTGTGTGTGTGTGTGTGTGTGTGTGTGTGTGTGTGTGTGTGTGTGTGTGTGTGTGTGTGTGTGTGTGTGTGTGTGTGTGTGTGTGTGTGTGTGTGTGTGTGTGTGTGTGTGATCATGATTTTACGTGTCCGTTGAGAGAATGCGCAAAGGGTGTAGATGTCAAGGAAGACAAAAATGGCCGAGATATTTTATACATTCCGAGTCCCAATCATTCTGGAGGTTATCGAACGACTAGGATTGTAATTGAATCTAAGTAATTGTGTTTTATGGATGTTGAGCTTTAGCCAGAGACAGAACTGTCTCGAAGTCTAGATATGAAATAAGATTGGGGAAAAAGGAGTCTGGATTTGTCAGATAGATTACAACATCGTCAGCGAATAATTAGATTTTATGTTCGTAACCAAACATCTGGCTCTTGGGACGTGGAACGTCACCTCACTGGGGGGGAGGAGCCTGAGCTCGTGGGGGAGGTTGAGCGATAGACTAGAGATAGTCGGCCTCACCTCCACACACAGCTTGGGCTCTGAACCTGCTGTTGCAGAGGCAAAAACCCGGGACTGGGAGGAGTTCGGAGAGTCCATGGAGCATGACTATCGGTCGGCCTCGAAGAGATTCTGGCAAACCGTCCGGCGCCTCAGGAGGGGGAAGCAGTTCTTTGCCAACACCATGTACGGTGAGGGTGGAGAGCTGCTGACCTCGACTGGGGATATTATCGGGCGGTGGAAGGAATACTTTGAGGTTCTCCTCAATCCCCCCGTCACGTCCTCTGTTACAGAGGCAGAGGCTGAGGATGTTGGGGCGGATACATCCATCTCCCTGGCTGAGGTCACCAAGGTGGTTGGCAGCCTCCTTGGTGGCAAGGCTCCGGGTGTGGATGAGATCCGTCCTGATTATCTAAAGTCTCTGGATGTTGTAGGACTGTCTTGGCTGACACGTCTCTGCAGCATCGCGTGGCGATCGGGGGCAGTGCCAATGGAGTGGCAGACCGGGGTGGTGGTCCCTCTCTACAAGAAGGGGGACCGGAGAGTGTGTTCCAATTATCGTGGGATCACACTCCTCAGCCTCCCCGGTAAGGTCTACTCCAAGGTACTGGAGACGAGGCTACGGCCGATGGTCGAATCTCGGATCCAGGAGGAGCAGTGTGGTTTTCGTCCCGGTCGCGGAACACTGGACCAGCTCTATACTCTCCATCGGATACTCGAGGGTTCATGGGAGTTCGCCCAACCTGTCCACATGTGCTTTGTGGATTTGGAGAAGGCGTTCGACTGTGTTCCCCGGGGTGTCCTTTGGGGGGTTCTCCGGGAGTACGGGGTCCGGAGTCCTCTGCTGAGGGCCATCCAATCCCTGTATGACCGGAGCCAGAGCTGTGTTCGCATCAGCAGTAAGTCAGACCTGTTCCCGGTGAATGTTGGCCTCCGACAGGGCTGCCCTTTGTCACCGGTTCTGTTCACTGTGTTTATGGACAGAATTTCTAGGCGCAGCCAGGGGCCGGAGGGGGTCCGTTTCGGAGACCACAGGATTTCATCTCTGCTGTTTGCGGACGATGTCGTCCTGTTGGCTCCAACGAACCAGGACCTGCAGCATTCACTGGGACGGTTTGCAGCCGAGTGTGAAGCGGCTGGGATGAGAATCAGCACCTCCAAATCCGAGGCCATGGTGCTCGACCGGAAAAAGGTGCCTTGCCCTCTGCAGGTGGGTGGAGAGGTCCTTCCGGCACGGTGGCTGAGTGGATAGCACTCTCGCCTCTCAGCAAGAAGGTCCTGGGTTCGAATCCCGGTCGGACCAGGGCCTTTCTGAGTGGAGTTTGCATGTTCTCCCCGTGTCTGCGTAGGTTTCCTCCGGGTACTCCGGTTTCCCCTACCACTAAAAATATGTCCAATAGTTCTGGCATGTGCCTCCTGTACTGGCCCCTCCCATCTCTGTGTGGAGTGAGAGACAAATGCCCAAAAATAACAATTGTAAACCGCTTTGAGACTCAGATGTGCAGTGAAAAGGCGGTATATAAATAAAAACGTACTTACTACTTACTTCCTCAAGTGGAGGAGTTCAAGTATCTCTGGGTCTTGTTCACGAGTGAGGGAAGGATGGAGCGTGAGATTGACAGGCGGATCGGTGCAGCGTGCGCAGTGATGCGGTCGCTGTATCGGACCGTTGTGGTAAAGAGGGAGCAGCGTCTGCAGTCAGAGCTGTATCGGACCGTTGTGGTAAAGAGGGAGCAGCGTCTGCAGTCAGAGCTGTATCGGACCGTTGTGGTAAAGAGGGAGCAGCGTCTGCAGTCAGAGCTGTATCAGACCGTTGTGGTAAAGAGGGAGCTGAGCCGAAAGGCAAAGCTCTCGATTTACCGGTCAATCTTCGTTCCCTCCCTCACCTATGGTCATGAGGGAGCAGCGTCTGCAGTCAGAGCTCCCTCACCTATGGTCATGAGCTTTGGGTAATGACTGAAAGAACGAGATCGCAGATACAAACGGTCGAAATGAGCTTCCTCCGCAGAGTGGCTGCTCCCTTAGAGATAGGGTGAGGAGCTCAGTCACACGGGAGGAGCTCGGAGTAGAGCTGCTGCTCCCTTAGAGATAGAGGAGCTCGGTCACACGGGAGGAGCTCGGAGTAGAGCCGCTGCTTCTCCACGTCGAGAGGAATCAGTTGAGGTGGCTCGGGCATCTGTTCCGGATGCCTCCTGGACGCCTCCCTGGGGAGGTGTTCCGGGCACGTCCCACCGGGAGGAGGCCCCGGGGAAGACCCAGGACACAGAGGGACTATGTCTCTCAGCTGGCCTGGGAACGCCTTGGGGTCCCCCCGGACGAGCTGGAGGAAGTGTGTGTGGATAGGGAAGTCTGGGCGTCTCTGCTTAGACTGCTGCCCCCGCGACCTGGCAACGGATGAAGCGGAAGAAAACGGACGGATGGATTCAGTTTCCGTGTTTTCCAGATCGCATCAACATCAAGAGGAAGGGGGCGTGGCCATCCGCCTACCTGTCCGTGCAGAACGTGGTCGACTGCGCAGACGCAGGAAGTTGTCACGGCGGCGACCACGGCGGCGTCTGGCAGTACGCCAACACACACGGCATCCCAGACGAGACCTGCAACAACTACCAGGCCAAGGACCAGGGTGAGACCAGAGACACCAGTGACAGAGACACCAGAGACACAGACACCAGAGACAGAGACACAGACACCAGTGACAGAGACACCAGTGACAGAGACACCAGTGACAGAGACACCAGTGACACAGACACCAGTGACACAGACACCAGTAACAGACACCAGTAACAGACACCAGAGACACAGACACCAGTGACACAGACACCAGAGACACCAATGACAGAGACACAGACACCAGTGACAGAGACACAGACACCAGAGACACAGACACCAGTAACAGAGACACAGACACCAGAGACACAGACACCAGTGACACCAATGACAGAGACACAGACACCAGTGACAGAGACACAGACACCAGAGACACAGACACCAGTAACAGAGACACAGACACCAGAGACACAGACACCAGTGACACCAATGACAGTGACACAGACACCAGTGACAGAGACACCAGAGACACAGACACCAGACACCAGTGACACAGACACCAGTGACACAGACACCAGTGACACAGACACCAGTGACAGAGACACAGACACCAGAGACACAGACACCAGTGACACAGACACCAGTGACACAGACACCAGTGACACCAGTGACAGAGACACAGACACCAGAGACACAGACACCAGTGACACAGACACCAGGGACACCACTGACAGAGACACCAGTGACAGAGACACAGACACCAGAGACACAGACACCAGTGACACAGACACCACTGACAGAGACACCAGTGACAGAGACACCAGTGACAGAGACACAGACACCAGAGTCACAGACACCACTGACAGAGACACCAATGACAGAGACACAGACACCAGTGACACAGACACCAGAGACACCAATGACAGAGACACAGACACCAGTGACACAGACACCAGTAACACAGACACCAGAGACACCAATGACAGAGACACCAGTGACAGAGACACCAGTGACAGAGACACCAGTGACGACACCAGGGACACCACTGACAGAGACACCAGTGACACAGACACCAGACACCAGAGACAACAGACACCAGTGACACCGTGTGTCTCACCTGGTACAGACCTAACACCATGTGTCTCTCCTGGTACAGACTGTGACGTGTTTAACCAGTGTGGCACCTGCACCACGTTTGGCGTCTGTGACGTGGTGAAGAACTACACGCTGTGGACGGTCGCAGACTTCGGCCAAGTCAGCGGCAGAGACAAGATGAAGGCAGAGATCTTTGCTAATGGTCCAATCAGGTGTGACCCATGGTCCTCTTTGTTTGACCCATGGTCCTGTCTTTGTTTGACCCATTGTCCTCTTTGTTTGACCCATGGTCCTGGCAGCTGTGGCATCATGGCGACCTCGAAGCTGGACGCGTACACAGGGGGCGTGTTCTCGGAGTTCCAGAACCCCGCCTTCATTAACCACATCGTGTCTGTGGTTGGCTGGGGCGTGGAGAAGGGGGTGGAGTTCTGGGTTGTCAGGAACTCGTGGGGAGAGCCCTGGGTGAGAACAGACCCGGAGATGTTTTTAGCTCCATCCACATTTAGATGTCCCCCCATCCCTTCTGTTTGAACTGTTCCCATCTCAAACTTGGTACTTACGTACAATGTTTAAAAGTAAAGTCACATGACTGAGTAATTATTCTGGTGAAGTGAAGCCTTTGAGAACTTTGTTTCAAGCTCTTAGTTTATTTATATATTGTATGTTTAGATTATTTATATATTTTATATTCCATTCAAATGAATCCAATATTTAATTATTTTAATCATTTATGGGTCGTTTGAGCTTTTGAAGAAAAGTTCTTAAATGTACGTTTTACATTTGTATCATTCGTGGGTTTGAAACTGTTGAACCTTCGATGTCTCTTTGTTTACGATCGAAAGTGAAAGTGAAATGTGTTTCAGGGCGAGAAAGGCTGGCTCCGGATCGTGACCAGCGCCTTCAAAGACGGGAACTACAGCCTCGCCATCGAGCAAGACTGTATGTACGGAGACGTCATCGTACCCAAGACCTACCGCTGAGACCAGTCTCTGAGACCAGACTCTGAGACCAGTCTCTGAGACCAGTCTCTGAGACCAGACTCTGAGAACAGTCTCTGAGACCAGTCTCTGGGACAGGTCTCAGTTTCAGGTAAATTCACCAAATGCTGAAATATTTTCTATTCTCACAAAAATGACTTTATTTTGAACGAATGTGTTTTTGTTTTATTCTTAAACATTGATATAAAAACATTGGTGTAAATTCAGTATTTTACAATTACTTTAAATTCACTTTACAGGTTTTATTTTACTTTTAAAGGGAACTTTTTACTGGATTTTTGAAAATGTAAAAACGTCTTTGGTGCAATTTGTTTTATATTTAGTGCCAACGTTTTCATTGTGCCTTTTATGGATCAAAAAACATGTTTTTTATGGTAAAGAACACGTATGTTTAAAGAACACGTATGTTTAAAGAACACGTCTGTTAAAGAACACGTATGTTAAAGAACACGTATGTTTAAAGAACACGTATGTGTTCACTTCCATAATGGTTTTATTGCACTTTGTTGGAAATGGGACAAACTCACATTTTCTGAAAAACTTTTTAATCAAACTTTCAATAAAAACATATTTACAACATGTGTTCACGTCATATTTAAACATTGAAAAGTGGAGCCAGCAGTTAAACTATGAACATATAAACTATATGTTTATAGATCTATAAACATTTGGTGTCTCTCAAACAAACCTCATTTAGAAAAACAAATTAATAGAAAATAATGTGGCTTTTCAGCAACAGACTTTGTCCTCGGGTCTGGATGGTGTCAGTGGATCATGATGAAGTTGGATTTACAGTGAGCTGAAAACACAGATCTGTGCTTTAAATCCAGTATTTAAAATCACACCTTCAGTTCTACACACACACGCGCACGCACACACGCACACACGCACACGCACACACGCACACGCACACACGCGCACGCACACACGCGCACACACACACGAACTCACTGATGAACTCAGCCACTGGGTCGTGTTCTCCTTCTGCTCTGATGGTTCCTGCGATGCTCTCGTTCTCCAGGATCGGCAAAAACAGCTGCACAAAGTCTGAGGTGTACGGGGCCGCGATCACATCCAGGACCTGCAGACCAGACCACAGACTAAAGGTCACAGACCACATCCAGGACCTGCAGACTACACATCAGAGACCAGACCAGAGACTATCACGCTCAGGTCACATGGGAGAGAACAGGCTGCTCTACAGAGCTAATGTGGCTAACTGCTCTACAGAGCTAATGTGGCTAACTGCTCTACAGAGCTAATGTGGCTAACTGCTCTACAGAGCTAATGTGGCTAACTGCTCTACAGAGCTAATGTGGCTAACTGCTCTACAGAGCTAATGTGGCTAACTGCTCTACAGAGCTAATGTGGCTAACTGCTCTACAGAGCTAATGTGGCTAACTGCTCTACAGAGCTAATGTGGCTAACTGCTCTACAGAGCTAATGTGGCTAACTGCTCTACAGAGCTAATGTGGCTAACTGCTCTACAGAGCTAATGTGGCTAACTGCTCTACAGAGCTAAGTGGCCAACTGCTCTACAGAGCTAATGTGGCTAACTGCTCTACAGAGCTAATGTGGCCAACTGCTCTACAGAGCTAATGTGGCTAACTGCTCTACAGAGCTAATGTGGCCAACTGCTCTACAGAGCTAATGTGGCTAACTGCTCTACAGAGCTAATGTGGCTAACTGCTCTACAGAGCTAATGTGGCTAACTGCTCTACAGAGCTAATGTGGCTAACTGCTCTACAGAGCTAATGTGGCTAACTGCTCTACAGAGCTAATGTGGCTAACTGTGGCTCTGAACCATCACCTCAGTGACGAAGTATCGGATCAGGGAGATGTCAGTGTTGAGTTTCTCTAAACATTTACGGATGTATCCGACCACAGGAAGAACGTATCCGCGGCTGAGAAGGTGAACCTTACGGTCCAACAGCGTCTTCTTCAACTCCATCTGGAAACCATGGAAACCACGAGACAATCAGGCAAGTTTATTTATATAGCACAATTCAAACCATGAGACAATCAGTGTCCTACCGTGTCCTACAGTCTTACCATGTCCTACAGTGTCCTGCAGTGTCCTACAGTGTAGTGTCCTATAAATTAGGGTTAGCTAATTAATTAATGAAATGTAAATATGTTAAAGCACCTGTTCCATGACGTCGAGCTGCGAGTGCTCGGTCTCAAACAGTTTGATGAGGAGCTGCAGGACCTGAGGGTGCAGCAGCTGGTGACAGGTGCAGATCTGAGGACCAGAACCATGTGAGACAGACCAGAACCATCTGAGATGGAACCATGTGAGACACCAGAACCATCTGAGATGGAACCATGTGAGACACCAGAACCATCTGAGATGGAACCATGTGAGACACCAGAACCAAGTGAGACGGACAAAACCATGAGACACCAGAACCATCTGAGATGGAACCATGTGAGACACCAGAACCAAGTGAGACGGACAAAACCATGAGACACCAGAACCATCTGAGATGGAACCATGTGAGACACCAGAACCATGTGAGACACCAGAACCATCTGAGATGGAACCATGTGAGACACCAGAACCATCTGAGATGGAACCATGTGAGACAGACCAGAACCAAGTGAGACGGACCAAACCAAGAGACACCAGAACTATGTTTTATTATCTCTCATTTCTCTAAACCTCCAAAAGGACACGTCTGGATAAGAACGTCTAAACAAGTAACAAGTGTGTGTCTTCAAAGAGCTCAGGGTCGGAGCAGCACAAGGAGAATAATGGGAGGAAGCTGCTTCTTCAACCTTCAGGAAAAACTGCCAAACCCTGAACGAGTGTGAAGTGTCTCTTCTTTGTTCAGCCCTGATTTGGAGGCGGAAGTTGGAAACACAATTTTGATCAAAGTGATTGATCATGGAAATGTAACTAATGTCCTTAAAGGCTTCATTATTGCAGCATGTTGCCTCATCGAACAAGGTGGCAGAGAACCATGACGCTCCATGAAGCACCATGAAGCACCATGTAAGCAAGTAAGTAATCTTTATTTATATACCGCCTTTTCACTGCACATCGGAGTCTCAAAGCGGTTTACAATTGTTATTTTTGGGAGCGGGGCCAGAACAGGAGGCGCATGCCAGACCTATTGTACATATTTTTAGTGGTAGGGGAAACCGGAGTACCCGGAGGAAACCTACGCAGACACGGGGAGAACATGCAAACTCCACTCAGAAAGGCCCTGGTCCAACCGGGATTCGAACCCAGGACCTTCATGCTGAGAGGCGAGAGTGCTATCCACTCAGCCACCGTGCCGCCCCATCATGAAAACCATGAAGCACCATGAAGGCTTGTTACCTCGTCAAGCAAAGCCAGATGAACTGGAGTGTGATCGGTCTGAAGCTGGAAGTATCGAGGCTCTGAGACGGTCCAGTCCACCCACTTCAGCACCCCCATAGCCACCACTGGGAAACTGAAGGACAACATCGTGACACATCGTGACTCATCCTGACTCATCATGACACATCATGACACATCATGACACATCCTGACTCATCCTGACTCATCCTGACTCATCATGACTCATCATGACTCATCCTGACTCATCATGACTCATCATGACTCATCCTGACTCATCCTGACTCATCCTGACTCATCCTGACTCATCATGACACATCCTGACTCATCCTGACTCATCCTGACTCATCATGACTCATCATGACTCATCCTGACTCATCATGACTCATCATGACTCATCCTGACTCATCCTGACTCATCCTGACTCATCCTGACTCATCATGACTCATCATGACACATCATGACACAAGACACATCATGACACATGACACATCATGACACATGACACATCCTGACACATCATGACACATGACTCATCCTGACTCATCATGACTCATCATGACACATCATGACACATCGTGACACATCCTGACTCATCGTGACTCATCGTGACACATCATGACTTATCATGACTCATCATGACACATCATGAGTCATGACTCATCATGACACATCATGAGTCATGACTCATCATGACACATCATGAGTCATGACTCATCATGACACATCATGAGTCATGACTCATCATGACACATCATGAGTCATGACTCATGACACATCATGAGTCATGACTCATCATGACACATCATGACACCTCATGAGTCATGACTCATCATAACACATCCTGACTCATCGTGACTCATCATGACTCATCATGACTCATGACACATCATGACTCATCATGACACATCATGACTCATGACTCATCATGACTCATCATGACACATCATGACTCATCATGACACATCATGACTCATCATGACACATCATGACACATCATGACACATGACTCATCATGACACATCATGACTCATCATGACACATGACACATCATGACACATCATGACTCATCATGACTCATCATGACACATCATGACTCATGACTCATCATGACACATCATGACACATGACTCATCATGACTCATCATGACACATCATGACTCATCATGACACATGACACATCATGACACATCATGACTCATCATGACTCATCATGACACATCATGACACATCATGACTCATCATGACTCATGACTCATCATGACACATGATGACTCATCATGACACATGATGACTCATCATGACTCATCATGACTCATCATGACACATCATGACTCATCATGACTCATGACTCATCATGACACATGACACATCATGACTCATCATGACACATCATGACACATCATGACTCATCATGACACGTGACACATCATGACTCATCATGACATCCATGAAGGATGGATGGCTTTGATTGATGGATTTCACTGTTTGATCTTAGAGGCATTTCTTGTTGACCTTAGGTTGTGAGATCCAGTCCCCTTTGCTCTCACCGTATGCACTGGTACAGAGTTCCCAGCTCCGCCACCAGCTCCGTGGCTCCTTTGTTCTCGTTGCAGCACAGATTATGAACCGTCTCGATGGCTTTGGACGTGGACTTCAGCTCATCTTTGTTGATGTTCACTCTCTTGTTCTGGAGGAAAAGGAGTAAGACCCGTATCCAGAGGGAACAGAACACATCAAAACAAACCTATGGTATTCTACGGTGTTCAAACGCTCAGATTAACTAAGATTTTACCTTCTTCCACGTTTCCACGACACTGGCAGCGTAAGCCAGAATGTGGATGTATTTGTGTTTATGGTCCTGGTTGATTTTTGAGCCCGGCTTAAACAGCGATAGCATGAAGAGGTCCAAGAAGGCGGGAACTCGGATCTGAGCCAAAGGCAGAAAGTATATAGCTCTTTGTGGTCTGAAAGTTAGGTTACCCAGCTTTAATCTCACCAGCTCCACAGGAGGCGGGTCCATGCTGCTGAACATTTTGAACAAGACGGTGATGTCGGCTGGATTCAACGCTCCTTTAGACAACATGGCGCCCAACGCCTGACAGGCGCGAGGGTACGCTGCAGCGGTGCCCAGGGCCAGAGTGATCTGGCTGGCATCGTGGCCCCTGGAACACAGCACCTTCATGGTTTCACCTTCATGGTTTCACCTTCATGGTTTCACCTTCATGGTTTCACCTTCATGGTTTCACCTTATGATTCAATATGTTTTAGTAAAAGACTTTTGGCCCAAACTATAATTTAAATAAATATAATCATATAATGTTACACAAATGTAAAACCGTTTGAGAGCAGCAGTTGGAGCATGTGTGTGAACTGTAAGTGCAGCTGTGTGCAGCTGTGTGCAGCTGTGTGCACCTGTGGTGAGCAGAGCGCTGCACCTCCTGCCCGATCCTCCTCACGGCCGAGCCTCCCTGCTCCTCCTGCGACAGGATGGACATCATGGCCTGGGCGAAGAGGTACGTGTGCTCTCCGTGACACACCATCTTCTACAAACAACAGCAATCTGTATGTGTTCCACAGAAACATCTGCAGCTGTGGACGACAGCTGTGGACTACAGCTGTGGACGACAGCTGTAGTCTAAAGTCACTCACTGCAAACTCGGGCAGGTTCTTCTCCAAGTTCTCTTCTCCTCCGTCCAACAGAGTGGACAGTGAGGTCCTGAGGACTCGGGAGAAGACCTCCAGCTGCTGGCAGGCTGTGGACACAGACGTGATCTCTCCCTGGTACCCAGCGTCTGAAATCAGCTGCACACACAGACCTTCTTAGACATTTATGGTCTCAGGACTTATGGTCTCAGGACTTATGGTCTCAGGACTTATGGTCTCAGGACTTATGGTCTCAGGACTTATGGTCTCAGGACTTATGGTCTCAGGACTTATGGTCTCAGGACTTATGGTCTCAGGACTTATGGTCTCAGGACTTATGGTCTCAGGACTTATGGTCTCAAGACTTGGCTCTACCTTGACAGTGAAGTTGAGCATGAGGCAGTCTGGATGAGCTTCTGCCAGTTTGTAAAACAGATCTCTCCAGGTGGTGTGAGCGATCATCTGCTCCAGCCACGCAGGGGTCTGAAAGAACACGCTCTGTGGTCATGGGCCGCATCCGTCTGGGGCAGATATGTTTCAAACCAATAAACTGTACCTCTCCCTCCACCGTGAAAATGGAGTCTGCTTTCTGTGGGTCAAAGTGTTTGATGAGGAGACTCTTCAGGTGGTTCTCCACTCGCTCTTGGACCTGTGCCGGCTCCACACCTTTAGACACAATGTCATTTAATACTAATGTACTACAGAAATATTTACTTAACTGTTCTGAGTATAATGTAATATATGTAATAAATGTATGTCACGGACCCATCTGAATGAGCCACTCAGCCAGAAGGTTCACAGTCTGAGCCACGGCAGAGTAGTTCTCAGACAGCAGTTGGATCACATGCTCTGGAGCGCCACCCGCCTGGAAGTACCTGAAATACAGACACAATCAAAACACAATATCAATAAAATAGTGACAATGTGACCAAAGCAACACCTACATTTTTAAAGTGTTAAAAATGGCTGGTTCCATTATATAATCTCTGCTTGAGAATTTTTCCAGACATGTTTCTTGAATTTTGCCGTCATCAGCAAAACCATCCTCCTGCAAAACAAATACACCTGTTATTCTGTCGCTTTGAGAATAACATTAATAACAAATGTCAAGAGTCTAGATCCACTGAATACATCACTCTGTGTACTCTGTACCGCTCTGTGTAGTACAGAGTACACAGAGTGGTACAGCAGAAACTTAGAGAATTTACCACTAACTCTAAGATTGTGCTTAACTTTTATGGCTGCACCATTGAGAGTTTACTTGTTGGTTCTGTGTCTGTGTGGTTTGGAAACATCACAGATAAAGAAAAGAGAGCTTTAAACAAGGTGCTCCGCTCTGCAAAGAGGACCGTGGGCTGTGAGCTTCCTGTTCTGGAGGTTCTTTATAAATCCAGACTTTTAAACAAAGCTCTTAGGATTGTTAATGACTCTTCTGGCCACCCTGGGAAAGCCATGTTCCAGCTTCTTCCCTCTGGCAGAAGATATCGCTCTCTGAGATGCAGGACATCTGGCTATGCTAACAGCTTCTTTCCACAGGCTGTTAGGTGCCTAAACAGAGCACTTTAATTCCTGCTTTTACCCCTTGTATCGTTTTTGTTGATCGGTGCCACAGTGTCAGCTGTTTTTTTTTATTCATTTATTTCCAGTGTATGTGTATTTTATATTACAGTGTGTCGTGCTCTTTATTCTGTCGGTGCACACAGAGTACCTTTTTTGCAAATGTATTCCAATGTAGTTTTTATACTGCACATGGCTAATACAATGAATCTGAATCTACAGAGTACACAGAGTGGTACAGAGTACACAGAGTGGTACAGAGTACACAGAGTACACAGATTACACAGAGTGGTACAGAGTACACAGAGTACACAGAGTGGTACAGAGTACACAGAGTGGTACAGAGTACACAGAGTACACAGATTACACAGAGTGGTACAGAGTACACAGAGTACACAGAGTGGTACAGAGTACACAGAGTAGTACAGAGTACACAGAGTGGTACAGAGTACACAGAGTACACAGAGTGGTACAGAGTACACAGAGTAGTACAGAGTACACAGAGTGGTACAGAGTACACAGAGTGGTACAGAGTACACAGAGTGGTACAGAGTACACAGAGTAGTACAGAGTACACAGAGTGGTACAGAGTACACAGAGTACACAGAGTGGTACAGAGTACACAGAGTGGTACAGAGTACACAGAGTGGTACAGAGTACACAGAGTACACAGATTACACAGAGTGGTACAGAGTACACAGAGTGGTACAGAGTACACAGAGTACACAGAGTGGTACAGAGTACACAGAGTGGTACAGAGTACACAGAGTGGTACAGAGTACACAGAGTAGTACAGAGTACACAGATTACACAGAGTGGTACAGAGTACACAGAGTACACAGAGTGGTACAGAGTACACAGAGTGGTACAGAGTACACAGAGTACACAGAGTGGTACAGAGTACACAGAGTGGTACAGAGTACACAGAGTACACAGATTACACAGAGTGGTACAGAGTACACAGAGTACACAGAGTGGTACAGAGTACACAGAGTGGTACAGAGTACACAGAGTACACAGATTACACAGAGTGGTACAGAGTACACAGAGTACACAGAGTGGTACAGAGTACACAGATTACACAGAGTGGTACAGAGTACACAGATTACACAGAGTGGTACAGAGTACACAGAGTGGTACAGAGTACACAGAGTACACAGATTACACAGAGTGGTACAGAGTACACAGATTACACAGAGTGGTACAGAGTACACAGAGTACACAGAGTGGTACAGAGTACACAGAGTGGTACAGAGTACACAGAGTGGTACAGAGTACACAGAGGATAAATGTACAGATGAAGGTATATATTTATGTTAGTGTAAACAGCGATAAAATCAGAAACTAAAGATGATTATACAAACCTTCAGTTGAAATAATGAAATAACTATAAAAATATAAATATATATCCTGCACAGACTATATTTAACTTTAAACATGTTTAACACTTCTCTGTGATGTCACATGTACATCATCCACGTTTATTTGGTAGCAACTAAACGTGGAATATTATGAAATAAACAAATCCAAATAAGGCTAATGCTAAAGATGCTAACAGCAGGTTTCTCACCATTAAGCCTCCGTCAGGTCCTTCCCAGTCCGCGCCTCCTCCTCCTCCTCCTCCTCCGCTGCTGTAATATTCATCTTCCATCCTCCTGCTAGAACTTCAGACTCAACTGTTGTAACTTTAACTTTATTTACAGGAAAGATGCTGTGGAGTTAGCTTAGCCCCACGCAGCTAACATGCTAACATGCTAACAACAAGCGTGAAAATGGCGACGCACAGACCACGCCCCGTTTTTATTATTTTCAAATCAATTAGTTTGTTATTGAGGGTATTCATAAATATAATGTATTGTCTTCACCCACAAATACAGAAGATTTATCAATTTAAAATAATGAAATTGATAAAACTTCTGTATTTGTGGGTGAATAGAGAGGCGGCTGGATCATCCATCCAGAAGGCAGTAACCCGAACCCTGACCCGAACCCTGACCCGAACCTTATAGACTTTATTCATCTCACACATAGACTGTATATATTAAGATCTCACACAGGAGAAATGTCAAAGTAATAAATGTGGAAACATACACATGACAATAACAGATTCTGATAGATATTAAACACTGTACAAACGACTCGCTGTCATTCTGAGACTAAACTGAGAGAGGTTTGAGTCGACTGTAAAATAAAAATGTTGAATGGAATAATTGCACATATTTTTGAGCGTTCTGAAATTATAGTTGTATAATTGACTAATGAGACTTAAATAATCTCAAACCATAAAAGGACACAAGATTTCCGTTGATAATACATTTCCACATAAATTATTTTATAGTTTTATGAGAAATACTTCTATTATTCGGCCACTACTGAATGGTTAGCAATACAGTAGTACAGATGGTCAAAAGGATCTAAATATTTATCAAATCAATTTTAAACAGAAAAAAAACAGACAAACAGCAACAAACTGTTTTTATTTATAATGCAAACTGCAACATATGAATTATATTATTCACTCAAAGGAGCAGGAAAAGGTCCCGTGGCATTAGTCACACTGTGTTAATCTAAGTCCAACAAACATTTGGGATTGAAGGAAATCCACTGCAAACTAAATATACATTCCTTTAGAATTCCAACTCCAAGATCTTCACGACGGCGCAAAGAAACTCCGGACTTAAACTGTTCAGAAACTCTCAAGAAAATAGTTGTGCAAACTTTCTGCACGAGTCACTACTAAAAGGTTCACAGAAATGTTAAATATCAAATAATTGATAAAAAGGATTTCATTTTATGTGTTTTAGACAAAGACCTCTGAAGTCATCGTTAGCTTCACTGAAGTCGTTCAGTTGTTTCAAGGATAAATAATATTTACAAGAAAAATAAGTTCATAATATATTGATCTGGGAAAAAAGACAAATATATTTTTAAAAAAAGATGTTAAACTTTTTTGGTTCAAAAGTTCAAAAACGCGCTGCAGACTTCACCCTTAGCCTTTCTGTACATCAAGTCTTGGAAAGTGAAGAGGAAAAGGGTTAGTTGATTGTACGGCTAAGAAAGAGTCCAGGGAGACAAAATACAGTGATATATTATAGAGGAGTCTGTTCTGGAAAACATCTGAAGTAGCACCGTCTTCACAGCAGGAGGCGCAGGAGGCGCAGGAGGCCCAGGAGGCGCAGGAGGCCCAGGAGGCGCAGGAGGCGCAGGAGGAGCAGGGGGCGCAGGAGGCCCAGGAGGCGCAGGAGGCCCAGGAGGCCCAGGAGGCGCAGGAGGCCCAGGAGGCGCAGGAGGCCCAGGAGGCCCAGGAGGCGCAGGAGGTGCAGGAGGCGCAGGAGGCCCAGGAGGCCCAGGAGGAGCAGGAGGCGCAGGGGGAGGTCATTTGTCCCGGTCATAGTCGGGTTGTGTGCAGCTTATACAAACATAGTCCTCGGTCTCGGCTCGTTCTGCCGACAGACCCACACAGACCTGATGGAACCACTGGTTACAGCTGCCGTCGCACTGCACCCAGTTCACCTGAAACACCAACACCAGGAGGTTACACCAGGAAAGTTATGCTTCAAAGTTTCAGATGTTTCCAACTTTCTACAGTGATCATGACGAGAGAGATTCATGTCTTATCTTCTTTTATTTATAGTGTGGACTTTTTAGTGCATGGTTTTATTTAATTTTAATATGATTCCCTGACGCCCCGGGCCACACGTGACTTTTGACCAAGGCCTGCCCTCGAACTAATCAGTGCACTTGGTCCTCAGCGGGGACAGGGGGACAAAAGGGCAGACTGGGAGCAACGCTGGACACGCTGGACACGCTGGACACGCAGGACACGCTGGACACGCTGGACACGCAGGACACGCTGGACACGCAGGACACGCAGGACACGCAGGACACGCAGGACACGCAGGACACGCTGGACACGCAGGACACGCAGGACACGCTGGACACGCTGGACACGCAGGACACGCAGGACACGCAGGACACGCTGGACACGCAGGACACGCAGGACACGCTGGACACGCAGGACACGCAGGACACGCAGGACACGCAGGACACGCAGGACACGCTGGACACGCAGGACACGCAGGACACGCTGGACACGCAGGACACGCTGGACACGCTGGACACGCTGGACAGCACAGCACCATATCAGGTACGCAATCTCGATCTGCATCTGGACCCGGACCACAGCCATCACCATCGCCGCCATCGCCGCCATTGCCGCACGAGTCAACAGAGAACACCACGAGACTGAACGACCGCCTCCTGTGGTAAGGACCAGAATGCATGCAGTTGTGGTGTTCATGAAGTGGCCTGGGGCAGGAGACTCGTCGGGGTGTGTTGGCTGTGGATGTGCTTTGCCTCCAGGGTCCGCGGCACCACGGGGGAAGGGATCCACCGGGATGAGCACCAAGAGGCCTGATCCAGACGGCGGCAGAGCCTGTTTTCCCTTTATTGCAACTACGTGCTCTCCTCCTCTTTTCGGGTCATAACTTTGAATATTTATGGTTTTAAACTACACATCCCCTTTTGCAATAACTTCATCCCCCTCTCACAATTATGTCCCGTAAGAAATGTGTCTTAGACTCACAGCTGCAACATTGAAAACACACACATCAGACATGAGACACACACATGAGACACACACATCAGACATGAGACACACACATGAGACACACACATCACACATGAGACACACACAGCAGCCTGTACCTCGTCTCCCTCGGGCTCCCTGCACCACGCTGCTGCACACAGAGAGAAGTCCTCCTCAGACTCGGACTCTGCAGGATCTGAGGTGTGGGGCGGAGAACAGCTGCTCCTCCTGCTCTGCTCCCGGCTCTCCTCTCTCCTCTCCAACCTCGCCTCCTCTCTCCTCTCCAACCTCGCCTCCTCTCTCCTCTCCAACCTCGCCTCCTCTCTCCTCTCCAACCTCGCCTCCTCTCTCCTCTCCAACCTCGCCTCCTCTCTCCTCTCCAACCTCGCCTCCTCTCTCCTCTCCAACCTCGCCTCCTCTCTCCTCTCCAACCTCGCCTCCTCTCTCCTCTCCAACCTCGCCTCCTCTCTCCTCTCCTTCCTGCGCTCCTCTCTCCTCTCCTTACTTCGCTTTGACTTCTTTTTTCTGGATTTCTTGGCCTTTTCGTGGAGCTGAGAGTCAGAGCTGTCTTTGCGCCTTTTGGTGCGTTTGCTCTGACAGTTTTCCTTGGAAGGACTGGATCCTCTGGTCTGGAACGAAAGGTTTAAATGATCCTTTAATCACAACATCTTTACCACTTTCAATGAAACACGCCATAGAAGCACGTCATAGTAACACGTCATAGTAACACGCCATAGTAACACGCCATAGAAACACGCCATAGAAACACGTCATAGTAACACGCCATAGTAACACGCCATAGAAACACGCCATAGAAACACGCCATAGAAACACGCCATAGAAACACGCCATAGTAACACGCCATAGTAACACGCCATAGTAACACGCCATAGTAACACGCCATAGTAACACGCCATAGTAACACGCCATAGAAACACGCCATAGTAACACGCCATAGTAACACGCCATAGTAACACGCCATAGTAACACGCCATAGAAACACGCCATAGAAACACGCCATAGAAACACGCCATAGTAACACGCCATAGTAACACGCCATAGAAACACGCCATAGTAACACGCCATAGTAACACGCCATAGTAACACGCCATAGTAACACGCCATAGAAACACGCCATAGTAACACGCCATAGTAACACGCCATAGTAACACGCCATAGTAACACGCCATAGAAACACGCCATAGAACACGCCATAGTAACACGCCATAGTAACACGCCATAGTAACACGCCATAGTAACACGCCATAGTAACACGCCATAGAAACACGCCATAGTAACACGCCATAGTAACACGCCATAGTAACACGCCATAGTAACACGCCATAGTAACACGCCATAGTAACACGCCATAGTAACACGCCATAGTAACACGCCATAGTAACACGCCATAGTAACACGCCATAGTAACACGCCATAGAAACACGCCATAGAAACACGCCATAGTAACACGCCATAGAAACACGCCATAGAAACACGCCATAGAAACACGCCATAGAAACACGCCATAGAAACACGCCATAGTAACACGCCATAGTAACACGCCATAGTAACACGCCATAGTAACACGCCATAGTAACACGCCATAGTAACACGCCGTAGTAACACGCCATAGTAACACGCCATAGAAACACGCCATAGTAACACGCCATAGTAACACGCCATAGAAACACGGCATAGTAACACGCCATAGTAACACGCCATAGAAACACTTCATAGTAACACGCCATAGTAACACGCCATAGTAACACGCCATAGTAACACGCCATAGTAACACGGCATAGTAACACGCCATAGTAACACGCCATAGAAACACTTCATAGTAACACGCCATAGTAACACGCCATAGAAACACGCCATAGTAACACGCCATAGAAACACGCCATAGAAACACGCCATAGTAACACGCCATAGTAACACGGCATAGTAACACATAGTAACACATAGTAACACATAGTAACACATAGTAACACATAGTAACACATAGTAACAGTAGTTGTGTACCTTCCCACTCTTGTGGCGGCGCTGCTCCCTCTCGGGGCTGTGTCTGGGTGAAGGTGCAGGAGGCGGTGTCAGTTTGTACAACAAGTATCTGTGAAGCTGCTCAGTCTCCGGCAGAGTCACCTGCAGCAGGAACCCCTCCACCAACAGCTCGTCCAGCTCCGATGGAAGAGCTGCCAAGAGGCACAAGCAAAGACTCTTCAGAAGGACGCTTAGTTTAGTCTTTGAAGATCATTCACATCCTTTACTTTTACAATCTCCCCGTTTCCTTGTTTCGTAACAATCAAAAACCTTAATCAAAAGTCTTTCTCTTTATTGCTGTTGTCTCTGTATAACAGTGTGTCGTAGATATTTAGTCGTAAAACATTCTGTCAAAGCAACAAAGGCCTCACCGTGAACTGGAAAAGAAGCGTGTTCCATGTAGAAAGAAGCACCGTGTCGTTCCCAGTCTGTGCGTGAAGGCAGCGGCTGACGGCCTCTGGACTGCAGAGAGCAGACACAAGTTACAGGTCCATAATCCAATCCTGATACTACTGAGGTCTATGAGACGAGTGAGAGGGCCCCCTTCAGGTAGCTGTCTGCTATTGCAGTTTGACTGACCTAAAAAACATTTACAAGAACTACCTAAAACTATCTAGTCCAAGACAAACCATTACCACAACTATCTCCAAGAAGTTAAAGAAACATCCACTGCCTCTTGGCTTTTAACTGAAACATGTCACATTTAGGGGCGACAGTAGCTCAGTTGGTAGAGCATTGGCCTTTGGGCCTGAAGGTCGTGGGTTCGAACCCACCGAAAGACCTACTTCACGACTCCCACTGATGACTGCTGTCGTTGTGTCCTTGGGCAAGACACTTAACCCTACTTTGCCCAAAGCCCCAACTGAAAGATCTCAGCTCCTGTGGACTCAGCTCCTGCAGGAGGATCAGTGAGAGGCTGGTGCTCTGTGACTGGGTGCAGCTCTGACTGCCACCCCCCTGACCCAGAAATGGATTGAGGGGAAGAAAATGGATGGATGGATGTCGCATTAAACTGAAACATGTCTGCATTAGGGGCAGGCCTCACAGGCAGAGCCAGGCCTTGGTCCTGTCCCTTGCCCAGGGTTAACGTTGGACCTGTACCTTGCCCAGGTTAGCGTTAGGGTTAGCGTTAGGGTTGGACCTGTACCTTGCCCAGGTTAGCGTTAGGGTTGGTCCTGTACCTTGCCCAGGTTAGCGTTAGGGTTAGCGTTAGGGTTGGTCCTGTACCTTGCCCAGGTTAGCGTTAGGGTTAGCGTTAGGGTTGGTCCTGTACCTTGACCAGGGTTAGCGTTGGGGTTGGTCCTGTACCTTGACCAGGGTTAGCGTTGGGGTTGGTCCTGTACCTTGCCCAGGGTTAGCGTTGGGGTTGGTCCTGTACCTTGACCAGGGTTAGCGTTAGGGTTAGCGTTGGGGTTGGTCCTGTACCTTGACCAGGGTTAGCGTTAGGGTTAGCGTTGGGGTTGGTCCTGTACCTTGACCAGGGTTAGCGTTAGGGTTAGCGTTGGGGTTGGTCCTGTACCTTGCCCGGGTTAGCGTTAGGGTTAGCGTTGGGGTTGGTCCTGTACCTTGCCCAGTCGCTCCAGCAGCCCGTCGGCACAGGCCTGTTGGACCTTATGCTGCCATCGTACCGTCCTCTCGATCAGAAACCTGAGTGCGTCTCCTTCGGGCAGACGCACTCGGATCCTCTGCAGCGACGCCAACAGCGGCAGCACTTTGTCCAGAGGAGGTTTCCTTGATCTTTGACACAGAGGACAGAACCAGGCCTGCTGCTGCTCCGGACGCACACAGTCACAGTGGAAGAGCTCTCTGCAGAGTTCACAGCGCACCATTGCTCCAGACGGCGGCCTCTGACAGACACACACCCCCAAAGAGCTGCAGGCTTCAGCCGAGAGAATCCGAGAGTCGTTTGAGGTGCGCAGAGCCAACAGCAGCTCCATCTCCGAGCGCTGCACTTCAGCCAGAGTGTCCATCTGAGAGCGAGACAATGGTTATTGCAGAGTTTGGTTAGATGTGAAAGAACAGTCACTTCAGAGGGAGATTGTGTGTTGTTAGCTCTAAAACTAAATCAAAGTCACTAAAGTGAAGCTAAATTCTCAGGAAACAATTATTTGTTTCTGGAGGTGATCATTCATTGTGTAATTCCTTTTTTATCAATGTGTCTGATTCTGAAACTGCAGAAGCTTTTCCACAGAAACAGTGGGAAGAATAAAAACTACTAAATACATTGTGCGCTCTGTAGAGAAGGTGATCGCTGCAGGACCTGTACGTCGCCCGAGCTCGAGGTATCACAGCCGACCCCTCTCACCTGCAAATGGACTATTCCAACCACTCCCCTCTCACCTGCACGTGGACTATTCCAACCACTCCCCTCTCACCTGCACATGGACTATTCCAACCACTCCCCTCTCACCTGCACATGGACTGTTCCAACCACTCACCTGCACGTGGACTAGGGATGTAAAAAACTATGAATTTTCATGACCGACCACCGAGCCTCATTAACCGGTTGAAACCGGTTAACCGCGTAGTTTAAAATAGTCCACGTTCTTTGAAATAACAGCCATTTCGAGCCGCGTACTTTTCATAAGTGCAGCTCTGCGTTCTACTGGATCAGAGTTGAGACAGCGGCGCCCAAACCCGCAACAGCTCCGGCACCTTTGCGCACAGAGAACTGCTGTTTTAATCTTCCCATTCTGCTGTGCTGCGGGTTAATACCAAAACTTTCTAGCAGCAAACGACGGCTCGTTCACATGGTCAGAGCAGCGAGTGACGCGTCTCACAGGTCTTCACAAAAGTTTAAATACAAGTGATGTGTGTGGAGCTGATCCCGAGGACCATAAACACAAACATGTTCCATGTGGTTTGACTGGAGCCGTGTGTTTGCGCGAATCCTTTGGGCTCCGTGACACAGAGGAGCGCGACAGACCGGTATGTGTGTGTGTGTGTGTGTGTGTATGTGTGTATGTATGTGTGTATGTGTGTGTGTGTGTGTGTGTGTGTGTATGTATAACTTTGACGGTAACAGAGGGGAGAGATGATGCGTGTGGATGTTACGTATGGAGAGGGGGGAAAGTGTGTGTGTGTGTGTGTGCGTGCACGCATGCGTGTGTGCATATGTGGCTCGTACGGCGTGAGAGTCGGCCCAGAGTTTACTGTTACATTGGCGCACACAGCTAGATAGGGACCCGCTCGTCACACCGTGCAAATAGGGCTTAAAATAGCGTTATTAAGAGACCTCCCCTCTCCCCTTTTCTCTTTTTTAACCGACAGCTTTGACCGGTTAACGCTGTGACGGTCAACCACCGGTTAAACGGTCGCCAATTTACATCCCTAACGTGGACTGTTCCAACCTCTCCCCTCTCACCTGCACATGGACTGTTCCAACCACTCCCCTCTCACCTGCACATGGACTATTCCAACCACTCCCCTCTCACCTGCACATGGACTGTTCCAACCACTCCCCTCAGGCAGGAGGCTGCGGTCCATCAGGACCAAAACCTCCCGCCATAAGAACAGTTTCTTCCCCTCTGCTGTTGACTCTTAAACACTTCATAACCTGACATGTTACTGCCCTTTATAAAGTCACTTTACTGCTGTCACCTTATATTGTGTGCACCATGTGAACTTGTATATTGTATATAGCAGTGTCTCCCAAAGTGGGGTCCGCGGCCCCCTGGTGGGCCGCGAGGGTACTGCAGGGGGGCCGCGGGAGGTCATTAAAAAAATACAAAAAATAATATAATTATTTAATGTTAAATTTATAATGTTTTGTTTGTAATATTAAAATATTTGTGTTCATTATTTGACTTGAATAATCCACTGTAATCATTTTTGTATTACAATGTTTGTAGCAGAGGCTATTTCCCCAAAATAAAATAACCAGAAGAGCCTATTCTTAATGTTGTCTTCTTGGTTATTATTTTGGGGGGCCACACAGACCCGTCAGATTTTTAAGGGGGCCTCGGTGTTACTGAGTTTGGGAATGGCTGGTATATAGTAATCCATAGAACAGACTCACCGCTGAGGCAGAATCTTTACTTTCAGAAAGAGCCTTCTCCACGTCGCACACAGAGTCCAGCCTCGAGGGACTCCTCCGACTCAGAGGCGAAGCTTCTTTTCCTTTTTTACACCTGGACCTCAGCAAAGCAGGGCCCACGTCACAGCGAGGACACAGGACCTGTGATAGTAGAGTGAAGTATATGAAGTCTATAAAATGATATCCCACGGACCTGTGATATGTCGCTACACTTTGTCTCCTCTCGTGGTGTAACCTCTGGATGTGTTTATGTAATGACAGTAACTTCTCTCAGATGCTTCATATCCTCTTGGGTCATGTGTACATCAGACTGGTGTCGGTTAAACTACACAGATCAACCTTTACCTCCAGCAGAGAGTAGTTGGAGTCGTTGAGGAGGAAGGTCTTGGCTGCGCTCTCCTTCCACGTCTGGACGTCACCGACCAAAGCCTCCAGACGACTCAGTGGCTCCAGTTTCACTGAGATGGAGTCAGCCCGGTGCACCAGCTCCAAGAGGCTCTCCAGGACCGGGATCCGCCCGCCCAGCTGCACACAGCACTTTATGAACACAACTGAGCCATGTCCAGGACCTACACAACCTGATCTGAAAACCCTCTGAAGACACTGGTGAGGGGGGCCACATGGTGTGAGCACAGACCAGTATGGTACATACATGCTCACTTCTGTCGGTCTCCCCCAGGGCAGCTGTGACTGAAGTAGTACCTCATTCTTCATGTATTTGAGTATTTGTTGTGTGAAGGCAGTTACCTGCAGGGCCTCTGCCTCTTCAGTCCAGCTCTTGCCTCGTTCCACCACATCCTTCAGCTCCAGACAGTTGGGCAGAAACGCTGGAATGTTGTCCACCTCCTGCAGCACGGCGTCCAGATCCTCAAGGCTCTGGAAGGGCCTAAAAACAACACGTTTCTGTGGTTTATAACACGGGCCTGTCACTGAATCTGATGAAGTTTAATCTCCTTTTACAAAAGAACTATGCTTCCATCTTTTATCAAAAGGAAAGTGTTAGATCTCTTCACTGAATGTCTTCGTGACCGGTCAGAGTTTGATGCCGTCGATGAATCTGATAAAGACATTTGCTCTAAATAAGAACGTGTCCCTAAAGCTTTGGTGAAATCTATCAAACCTAACAATAGTGTGTTTGTAAAGTCTTCCTCAGACCTGTTCTCCATGAGCCCCAGCGCTCGCTCCTCCCACTGCTCCGACACCGTGAGCAGCTCCTGCAGTCGGGCCATGGCCTTCTCCACGGAGCCGTGCGGCGCCAGCCCCACGCCCTGGTCGATCAGCCGCCTCATGGTGTCCAGACAGAGGGCGTCAGGCTGAGCGCTCTCCTGAGTCACCGCCTCCAGCCAGCGCGCCTGCTCCAGCCTCTCACGGAGCTCTGGTCTCTGGGGCAGCTCCACATCCAGGCCCAGGCTCAGGTCCAGCAGCTCCTGGAGGTCCGCGGGCCTCGGGGCCTCGTCCGACAGCAGCCTCTCACTGCGCTGCTCGAAGTCCTCCACACGAGTCAGCAGGTCCTGACAAAACATTCAACATCCTGTGTTTACACACAGTTCTCTGTCAGACTGTCTTTAGACCCTCATGATGGAGACTGTCCTTAGACCCTCATGATGGAGACTGTCCTTAGACCCTCATGATGGAGACTGTCCTTAGACCCTCATGATGGAGACTGTCCTTAGACCCTCATGATGGAGACTGTCCTTAGACCCTCATGATGGAGACTGTCCTTAGACCCTCATGATGGAGACTGTCCTTAGACCCTCATGACGCAGACCCTGATGACGCAGACCCTGATGACGCAGACCCTGATGACGCAGACCCTGATGACGCAGACCCTGATGACGCAGACCCTGATGACGCAGACCCTGATGACGCAGGCCCTGATGACGCAGGCCCTGATGACGCAGACCCTCATGACGCAGACCCTGATGACGCAGACCCTCATGACGCAGACCCTGATGACGCAGACCCTGATGACGCAGACCCTGATGACGCAGACCCTCATGACGCAGACCCTGATGACGCAGACCCTCATGACGCAGACCCTGATGACGCAGACCCTGATGACGCAGACCCTGATGACGCAGACCCTGATGACGCAGACCCTGATGACGCAGACCCTGATGACGCAGACCCTGATGACGCAGGCCCTGATGACGCAGGCCCTGATGACGCAGGCCCTGATGACGCAGGCCCTGATGACGCAGACCCTGATGACGCAGACCCTGATGACGCAGACCCTGATGACGCAGACCCTGATGACGCAGACCCTGATGACGCAGACCCTGATGACGCAGACCCTGATGACGCAGACCCTGATGACGCAGACCCTGATGACGCAGACCCTGATGACGCAGACCCTGATGACGCAGACCCTCATGACGCAGACCCTGATGACGCAGACCCTGATGACGCAGACCCTGATGACGCAGACCCTGATGACGCAGACCCTGATGACGCAGACCCTCATGACGCAGACCCTCATGACGCAGACCCTCATGACGCAGACCCTCATGACGCAGACCCTCATGACGCAGACCCTCATGACGCAGACCCTCATGACGCAGACCCTCATGACGCAGACCCTCATGACGCAGACCCTGATGACGCAGACCCTCATGACGCAGACCCTCATGACGCAGACCCTCATGACGCAGACCCTCATGACGTAGACCCTCATGACGCAGACCCTCATGACGCAGACCCTCATGACGCAGACCCTGATGACGCAGACCCTGATGACGCAGACCCTGATGACGTACCCTGAGCAGTGGAGCCTGTCGGATGTGACAGGGCAGAGCGTCCAACTGACGAACGAACGACCTCAGCTCCTCCACCGTCGGATCGTTCTGACTCTGGGATTTACCACAAGAACGGAACCTGAACACAGAGAACCATGGTCTTCATCAGACTGAACACAGAGAACCATGGTCTTCATCAGACTGAACACAGAGAACCATGGTCTTCATCAGACTGAACACAGAGAACCATGGTCTTCATCAGACTGAACACAAAGAACCATGGTCTTCATCAGACTGAACACAGAGAACCATGGACTAAAGTCTTCCTCAGACTGATGTGTTCTTGTACCTAGGGTCAGGGTGCTTGAACCTAGGGTCAGGGTGCTTGAACCTAGGGACAGGGTGCTTGTACCTAGGGTCAGGGTGCTTGTACCTAGGGTCAGGTGCTTGTACATTGGGTCAGGTGCTTGTACCTAGGGTCAGGTGCTTGTACATTGGGTCAGGTGCTTGTACATTGGGTCAGGTGCTTGTACATTGGGTCAGGTGCTTGTACCTAGGGTCAGGTGCTTGTACATTGGGTCAGGTGCTTGTACCTAGGGTCAGGTGCTTGTACATTGGGTCAGGTGCTTGTACATTGGGTCAGGTGCTTGTACCTAGGGTCAGGTGCTTGTACCTAGGGTCAGGTGCTTGTACCTAGGGTCAGGTGCTTGTACCTAGGGTCAGGTGCTTGTACCTAGGGTCAGGTGCTTGTACCTAGGGTCAGGTGCTTGTACCTGGTTTGCCTCTTGCCGTTGAGCAGCTGCTGTGCCGTCGCAGCCGCTCGGTCGGCCTCGGCGGTGATGGACCTCAGCTGCTCCTGGAGACTTTTATCGGGGAAACCTCCGGTGTTGCCAAGTTCCACCAAACTGTGCAGCTCCTCCAGAGCTGAGGAGCACACGGCCCAACACGTGTCACACATGACGTATGGTCAGAGTCCAACACGTGTCACACATGACGTATGGTCAGAGTCCAACACGTGTCACACATGACGTATGGTCAGAGTCCAACACATGTCACACATGACGTATGGTCAGAGTCCAACACGTGTCACACATGACGTATGGTCAGAGTCCAACACGTGTCACACATGACGCATGGTACGAGTCCAACACATGTCACACATGACGTATGGTCAGAGTCCAACACGTGTCACACATGACGTATGGTCAGAGTCCAACACGTGTCACACATGACGTATGGAGTCCAACACGTGTCACACATGACGTATGGTCAGAGTCTAACACATGTCACACATGACGTATGGTCAGAGTCCAACACGTGTCACACATGACGTATGGTCAGAGTCCAACACGTGTCACACATGACGTATGGTCAGAGTCCAACACGTGTCACACATGACGTATGGTCAGAGTCCAACACGTGTCACACATGACGCATGGTACGAGTCCAACACGTGTCACACATGACGTATGGTCAGAGTCCAACACGTGTCACACATGACGTATGGTCAGAGTCCAACACGTGTCACACATGACGTATGGTCAGAGTCCAACACATGTCACACATGACGTATGGTCGGAGTCCAACACGTGTCACACATGACGTATGGTCAGAGTCCAACACGTGTCACACATGACGTATGGTCAGAGTCCAACACGTGTCACACATGACGTATGGTCAGAGTCCAACACGTGTCACACATGACGCATGGTACGAGTCCAACACGTGTCACACATGACGTATGGTCAGAGTCCAACACGTGTCACACATGACGTATGGTCAGAGTCCAACACGTGTCACACATGACGTATGGTCAGAGTCCAACACATGTCACACATGACGTATGGTCAGAGTCCAACACGTGTCACACATGACGTATGGTCAGAGTCCAACACGTGTCACACATGACGTAAGGTCAGTAACAGGTCACGGAATCTTCACACGGGCCCCGCTCCACACTTTCACAGACAAACACGGATCTCAGATCAAAGACGTCAACAACATGCGTCTCAAACATGTTAAGGTTAAATACATACTTCTTTTGTCGGCCTCTTTCTTCTCCACGACCTCGGACGTGTCCCTGAACCAGTTCTTGTAGGACTCGGAGCGATGCTTCACTCCCTCCTTCAGCCGATGCAGCTCCTGCAGCGGAAACTTATAACTGGAAAACATGTGAACATACGTGTGAAGTTACTGAATTCAGAGTGAGAGAGTCTGTGGGACACTGGCAGAGCGTGTGCAGGTGGTACATGTGAACATACGTGTGAAGTTACTGAATTTAGAGTGAGAGAATCTATGGGGCACTGGCAGAGCGTGTGCAGGTGGTACATGTGAACATACGTGTGAAGTTACTGAATTCAGAGTGAGAGAGTCTGTGGGGCACTGGCAGAGCGTGTGCAGGTGGTACATGTGAACATGTGAACATACGTGTGAAGTTACTGAATTCAGAGTGAGAGAGTCTGTGGGACACTGGCAGAGCGTGTGCAGGTGGTACATGTGAACATACGTGTGGAGTTACTCACTTGAAAGTGAGAGAGTCTGTGGGACACTGGCAGAGCGTGTGCAGGTGGTACATGTGAACATACGTGTGGAGTTACTCACTTGAGAGTGAGAGAGTCTGTGGGACACTGGCAAAGCGTGTGCAGGTGGTACATGTGAACATACGTGTGGAGTTACTCACTTGAGAGTGAGAGAGTCTGTGGGACACTGGCAGAGCGTGTGCAGGTGGTACATGTGAACATACGTGTAGAGTTACTCACTTGAGAGTGAGAGAGTCTGTGGGACACTGGCAGAGCGTGTGCAGGTGGTACATGTGAACATGTGAACATACGTGTGGAGTTACTCACTTGAGAGTGAGAGAGTCTGTGGGACACTGGCAGAGCGTGTGCAGGTGGTACATGTGAACATGTGAACATTCGTGTGGAGTTACTCACTTGAGAGTGAGAGAGTCTGTGGGACACTGGCAGAGCGTGTGCAGGTGGTACAGACACACCATCTTCTTGGGGCAACAGTCGCAGCTGATCCCAGACAGAAAACAGGTGCTGAGGCATCGCGAACACTGTCGCTCCTCATCAGGGAGGAGATCAAAGTCCACCTGCTGGGACTTCACCACGCCCTGAGGAGAAGGAGGAGGAGACATCTGAGAGAGGGAGGAGACATGTGAGAGAGAGGGAGGAGACATGTGAGAGGGGGAGGAGACATGTGAGAGGGGGAGGAGACATGTGAGAGGGAGGGAGGAGACATGTGAGAGAGAGGGAGGAGACATGTGAGAGGGAGGGAGGAGACATGTGAGAGGGGGAGGAGACATGTGAGAGAGGGAGGAGACATGTGAGAGAGAGGGAGGAGACATGTGAGAGGGGGAGGAGACATGTGAGAGGGGGAGGAGACATGTGAGAGAGGGAGGAGACATGTGAGAGAGGGAGGAGACATGTGAGAGGGAGGGAGGAGACATGTGAGAGAGAGGGAGGAGACATGTGAGAGAGAGGGAGGAGACATGTGAGAGGGGGAGGAGACATGTGAGAGAGGGAGGAGACATGTGAGAGAGGGAGGAGACATGTGAGAGAGAGGGAGGAGACATGTGAGAGAGAGGGAGGAGACATGTGAGAGAGAGGGAGGAGACATGTGAGAGAGAGGGAGGAGACATGTGAGAGAGAGGGAGGATACATGTGAGAGGAAGGGAGGAGACATGTGAGGGGGAGGAGACATGTGAGGGGGAGGAGACATGTGAGAGAGGGAGGAGACATGTGAGAAAGGGAGGAGACATGTGAGAGGGAGGAGACATGTGAGGGGGAGGAGACATGTGAGGGGGAGGAGACATGTGAGGGGGAGGAGACATGTGAGAGAGGGAGGAGACATGTGAGAGAGGGAGGAGACATGTGAGAGAGGGAGGAGACATGTGAGAGAGGGAGGAGACATGTGAGAGAGGGAGGAGACATGTGAGAGAGAGGGAGGAGACATGTGAGAGGGGGAGACGTGAGAGGGAGGAGACATGTGAGAGAGGGAGGAGACATGTGAGAGAGGGAGGAGACATGTGAGAGAGGGAGGAGACATGTGAGAGGGAGGAGACATGTGAGAGAGGGAGGAGACATGTGAGAGAGAGGGAGGAGACATGTGAGAGGGGGAGACGTGAGAGGGAGGAGACATGTGAGAGAGGGAGGAGACATGTGAGAGAGGGAGGAGACATGTGAGAGAGGGAGGAGACATGTGAGAGGGAGGAGACATGTGAGAGAGGGAGGAGACATGTGAGAGAGGGGGGAGACATGTGAGAGGGAGGGAGGAGACATGTGAGAGAGGGAGACATGTGAGAGAGGGAGGAGACATGTGAGAGAGGGAGGAGACATGTGAGAGAGGGAGGAGACATGTGAGAGAGGGAGGAGACATGTGAGAGGGAGGAGACATGTGAGAGGGAGGAGACATGTGAGAGGGAGAAGACATGTGAGGGAGGAGACATGTGAGAGAGGAGACATGTGACATGGAGAGAGGAGGAGACATGTGAGAGAGGGGGGAGGACATGTGAGAGAGGGAGGAGACATGTGAGAGGGAGGAGACATGTGAGAGGGAGGGAGGAGACATGTGAGAGGGAGGAGACATGTGAGAGGGAGGAGACATGTGAGAGGGGAGGAGACATGTGAGAGAGGAGGAGACATGTGAGAGAGGGAGGAGACATGTGAGAGAGGGAGGAGACATGTGAGAGAGGGAGGAGACATGTGAGAGAGAGGGAGGAGACATGTGAGAGAGGGAGGAGACATGTGAGAGAGGGAGGAGACATGTGAGAGAGAGGGAGGGAGGAGACATGTGAGAGGGGAGGAGACATGTGAGAGGGAGGAGACATGTGAGGGGGGATGTAGGAGGGACATGTGAGAGGGGGAGGAGACATGTGAGGGGGAGGAGACATGTGAGGGGAGGAGACATGTGAGGGGAGGAGACATGTGAGAGGGGGAGGAGACATGTGAGAGGGGGAGGAGACATGTGAGGAGGAGGGGAGACATGTGAAGAGATCAAGGGAGGAGAGACATGTGAGAGGGAGGAGACATGTGAAAACATTGTGAAGACCGGGGGGAGGAGACATGTGAGATGGGGGAGGAGACATGTGAGAGGGGGAGGAGACATGTGAGAGGGGGAGGAGACATGTGAGAGGGGGAGAGAATAACTCAACAGTCTTTAACTAACCTTTTGGTAATGGTGTCCTTTTGGGACCATAGGACACAGCCAGAAAAACGGTAATAGTGCTCCTGAAATAAAAACATAGTTTGACAACATGCCTGTGAATGACTCGGATACAAATGTTCAGACGAGTTAAGTATCATACCAAGTTAGCTCTTTGGATCTGCCAAACAGAGATAACAAGGCAATAATTCCTCTGGCATATTCGTCTTTTACACGCCTTGAAGGACTTCTTTAAAATAATAGGTTATATTTTAGTTATGAAACAGTGAAACTTGCAAAATTAGCAATGTTTTACCATGTTCATTTGTCATATGCGCAACCAAAATGTTGACCATATCACAACAACAACAACAACAACAACAATTTATTCTTGTATAGCCCTAGGTCACAACAGAAGTCATCTCAGAGGACTTAACAAAACCATTGAAATCACCAACACAGGTCAGAGAATCAACAGTTAAAACACATGAAGAATACAGTATAAAGCACACACAGAAGAAAATGTCCATACATGTTGTAGAATGCTAAAGTGTCCTGATCATCACCAATCCTTTCTGTTGGACACTAACTGTCCAACAAGACCCTCCTGCATCGACAAGGAAAAACTCTTAAAAAACCCAGTGGGAAAAAGTGAGAAACCTTGGAGGAGAACTAGGGAAACCCACAGGGAGGGAGACCCATATGAGAAAGGGATCCGCTCCTCCGGACGGACAGACTAATGATCCAGGACCTAAGCTAGCTACAGAACGTGGACCAGTGGACGCTGAACGTGGACAGGTCCGGTGCAGGACTGAAGCACTCCCAGGCGGGTCGGGCGGGGCAGTCCGCAGGTGTAGATGGAAGAGGCCAGGCTCAGAGATCCCGTCATCGTACCATGAAACAGACAATGGGACAACGGGTGAATAGCAATGAACAAACTACAGTCAGAATCCTAAAAATGCTAAACAGATAAAGTAGGAAGGAGGAGAGGATAGTGCTCAAGTTACCATACTTCTCCCAGCAAACTGACTCCCTATGCAGCTTGACTAACACTCTGAGGAGTTTAACCTTCTCCGAGTCTTACCTTCCTAGCCATATGCTAAACTAAAGAGGACTGTTTTAAACCTAGCCTTGAATAAAGAATAACATACAGCATAATATATAACATAATATACAACATAACACAATACATTATTGAATAATATATAACATAATATATAACATAATACAGCATATATATATAATATATACACTACATATTATATATTACCTAATTATATGCTAAATTAAAGTAAAGTGCTTTAAGCCTGGCCTTGAATGTGGAGACCGTATCTGCTTCCTTAACATAAATGGGAAGCTGATTCCACAGTAAAGGAGCTTGGTAGCTAAATGCTCTGCCACCAACAGTGACCTTTGAGACCTTAGGGACCACCAGACGTCTGGCGTTTTGTGAGCGCAACGCTCGACTGGTTGATACGACACTAACGTGTCTTGGAGATAAGAAGGAGCCAAGCCATTTATGGCTTTATATGTTAAGAGTAGGATTTTAAACTTTATTCTGTACTCCACAGGGAGCCAGTGGAGTGATTTTAACACCGGAGTTATGTGCTCCCTCCTTTTGGTACCTGTTAAGATCCTAGCTGCTGTATTCTGAACGAGCTGGAAGCTCTTCAAAGAGGCTTTAGGGCACGCTGCCAGTAAAGCGTTACAGTAGTCGAGCCTTGAGGTGACAAACGCGTGAATGAGTTTTTCCGCGTCACTTTTAGGAAGGAAATTCCTAATTTTAGCGATGTTCCGTAAGTGGAAGTACGCCGTTTTAGTTGCTTGGCTTATATAAGCCTTGAAGGAGAGTTCTTGGTCAAAAATGACTCCAAGATTCCTCACAGTGTTACTGGGATTATACTGACATTATCGAGAGTAACCATCTGGTTAGTGAGGGAGTCACGCAGGCGCTTCGGACCGAGTAGGATCACTTCTGTCTTCTCCGGGTTGAGAAGTAGGAAGTTAAGAGTCATCCACATTTTAAGGTCCTTTATGCAGGCACTGAGCTTTTCTAGCTGATCTGTCTGATTAGGCTTCATCGACAGATAAAGCTGTGTGTCATCTGCATAGCAGTGGAAATTAATTCCATGCTTTTTAATAATGTTTCCCAGTGGCAGCATGTAGAGAGTAAAAAGAATCGGTCCGAGTACCGAACCCTGCGGCACACCGAATTCCACTCCAGAATAAGGCGACGAGTCCTGATTCACATTGACGAAGTGATATCGATCTGATAAATAGGATTTAAACCAGCCAAGGGCTGTTCCTCTAAGACCTATATCACATTCTAGCCTCTGCAGTAGAATGCTGTGGTCTATTGTGTCAAATGCAGCACTAAGGTCCAGTAGGACCAGCACTGACACTTGTCCATTATCGGCAGCTAGTAGTAAGTCATTTGTGACTTTGACTAGTGCCGTTTCAGTGCTATGATGAGCTCTGAATCCTGATTGAAAGACTTCAAACATATCATTTTCCTGCAGGTGGCAGCGGAGCTGCTCAGCTATAAGTTTTTCCAGGATTTTAGATATAAAAGTGAGGTTTGAGATCGGTCTGTAGTTTGTAAGTATTTCTGGGTCCAGGTTTGTTTTCTTCAGAAGGGGTTTGATTACCGCGGTTTTAAAAGCTTGTGGGACATAGCCACATTGTATGGATGCGTTTATTATATTTACGATAGGCTCAATTATCAAAGGAAGTATGTCTTTGAAGAGCCATGTCGGGACTGCGTCTAACATGCAAGTTGAGGCTTTTGAGGATGTGACCACAGAGATCACCTCTGCTTGGCTCACAGCCATGAATTTATTAAGGCCCACTGAAGAGTCTAAGTGGGAAGTCACGTATGCCGCTTCAACCTGTCCACCACTAACAGCAGGAGCAACCTCCTCCAGCTTGTCACGGATGGATGTAATTTTATTATTAAAGAAGTGGAGAAAGTCGACACTGCTCAGTGAGCTTGGAATTTTAGGCTCGATTGCGCTATGGCAGTTTGTGAGTTTAGCGACGGTACCAAACAAAAATCTACTGTTGTTTTTATTCGCTTCTATTAAAGTTGAATAGTATTGAGTTCGAGCCCCGCGAAGGGCCTTCTTGTAGTTTCGGAGACCTGCTTTCCACTCCCGTGGACAGGCTCCGAGTGGGAGTGGCGATATAGCCTCTCCAATTTTCTGACGTCCTGTTTTAAAGTGTGGAGTTGAACACTGTACCAGGGCGACGATGATCTAATCCTAATGGTTTTCTGTTTTAAAGGAGCTGCTGCATTTAATGCAGATTTTAAAGACTCCATAGTGTTGCCCACCGTTTGGTCAATGACTGAGGGACTGCAGCTGCTGTGAACAGGTTCACCTGCAGCAGTATTCAACATAGGCTGTATTAGTTCTTTGAACCTTGTGATAGATTTATCATTTAAGGTTCTTTTCATTATGGTTTTATCTTGCGGGACAGGAAAGTCCTCCAAAGCGAGATCAAACGTGATCAAGAAATGGTCAGACAGCAACGAGCTTTGACGCTGGATGTCAACATTGGAGACATCACAGCCGTAGGTCAGGACAAGGTCCAAGGTGTGGTTATGAATGTGAGTAGGTTCCTCGACATTCTGAGTAAAACCAACACCATCTAGTACGGCGCTGAAAGCTTTGTTTAAGCTGTCAGTGCTGTCGTCCACATGTATATTGAAGTCTCCAGCTATAACTATGTTTTCCCATTCCAAAACTAGGTTTGAAATGAAGTCAGAGAATTCTGTTAGGAACTCGCTGTAAGGACCAGGAGGTCGGTATAAAACTATAAATAGTACTGCTTTTTGTTTTCTCCACCCAGGACAGGTGATTGAAAGTGTTAAGTTTTCAAACGAGTGAAAAGCGTTGTTGGTTTTGGGACTAAGAACCAAGTTGGTGTGTGATATAATCGCAACACCACCGCCGCGACCTGTAGCTCTGGCTTTCTGGTAGTTAACATGCGTCGGAGGAGTGCACTCATTCAATCTAACGTAGTCGTCCTGTTGGAGCCAAGTCTCCGAGAGCGCAAACAGATCCAAGCCCTTGTCTATAATAAGTTCGTTTATGAGAAGCGATTTAGACGAGATTGATCTGACGTTCATTAAACCACATTTAACAACCCTACCGCTAGAACTATTTCTGTCTGTCTGAACTTTTATTAAGTTACTGTGTCTGACACCTAGGTCAGATTTCCTCGCATATAGTGCTTTAGACTTCAAGCGGGGAACACACACAGTTTCAATCTGACTAGGTTCTGAGGCTAGTAACTGAGCACACACAGGCACACACACACATGCACACACAGTTTCAATCTGACTAGCCTCTGAGGCTAGTAACTGAACAGATGGGGGCTCAGAGGTTGTGGCAGAGCAGCTCTGCACCCGGGCCTCAGTTCTGCATCGTCATTTGAGCCGAGCAGAACAGTTTAGAGCCAGGGCCAAATTCTTAGCCAAAAGGGATGTACCCGCCAACGTTGGGTGGATATCATCCGAGCGGATGAGACCGGGCTTTCCCCAAAAGGCACTCCAATTGTCAACATGAACAAACACCACTTCGAGGGCACCAGCCAGACAGCCAGCGGTTGAAAGCCGAGTGTCTGCTGAATGCTTCTGCACTGCTAGTGCTAGGTAGGGGCCCAGAGAAGATGACAGTGTCGGCCATTGTGCTAGCCAGCTTGCACACGGCGGCGACTTGCAGCTTCAACACCTCGGACTGTTTCCGCCGAACGTCATTACCACCCGCGTGAATAACAATTCGACGGAAACGCTGCTTGTGGGTCATCATGAGCCTCAGATTCCCTTCAATATCACCAAGCCTGGCCCCAGGGAAGCACCGAACAGTGGCTCCTGGGATCTTAACACCTCTAACAATAGAGGAGCCAATTACCAGCGCATCAGCGACTCCATCGGCTCTCTCAGCAGCTCTCTCAGCGGCTCTCTCAGTGGGGCCTTCTTCCCCGCCCCCGGCCGCGCGCGGGGGCGCAGCCGGACAGAGCGTCCCAGCGATTGTAAATGCTAACAGGAGGAGGCCCAATGGGGAAACTACCAACAACACGTCGCCCTCTCCGAACAGTCACAAAGCCATCACTATCCTGGTCTTGTCCCAGCTGCGGAGGACGGGCTGGGAGGCTAGGCTCGCTAGTTCTCCTCTGCCTTTCCCTAAAGCTGCGCTCCGCTGTCCCTGAGGATACGGCCTGGCTGTAGCTAATGCTAGCGCTAGCTCGAGACTCCAGTGCTCGGAGACGCAGCTCTAACTCACTGACCCTGGATTCCAGAGCTACGACTACACTACACTTCACACATCTATCACTACCCTCAGAGAAGGATCCAGGGTTTAGACTCGCCATATGGCAACTCGAGCAGTAAAGGATTGAGGGAGAGACAGCAGCCGCCATAGTAGCGAGTTAGCGGCTAGGCTAGGCTAAGCTAGGCTAGGCTAAGCTAGTACGGATCCGGGCCCGCACAACAGACTCCGAGACCAGACAAACAACCGCTACCTAAACCTCAGCTACAGTACAGCTGACTCGGAGTGCTTACACAGTTAGCTTGGTGTACAATACGTGGATTTGTAATGTGTTTGTTAGTGCAAACAGAGAGCAGAGTGATAGCAGTCGAGAAACACGCTCACCGGATACAGGAAGTCACCATTATCCACATAAATAAATAAATGTGCTGCATGGTCCTGTACAGGCTGTTTGTGATGTCACATGAACATTTCTCACCTTCCATTTACTTTTGGCAAAGTTCTTCTTGATCTGAGCAGACACAGACTCGTGGATGTTCTTGTCCAGAGCAGTGTCTCCACAAATCCTACAGTCAAACATAATGAGACTTAGAGCTAATGCTAATGCTAATGCTAAAGCTATCGTGCGTGTCGGACCAGGGGTGCTGCAGAGCCTGCTCGCAGGTGTAGCGCTCACTGGGGTCTCTCTCCATCAGATGAACAATGAAGTCTTTGGCTAAAAACAGAGAAAGTCAGAGACACGTTTAAAAATCTGTTCCAAACCACATTCCTCACATTCCTCACATTCCTCACATTCCTCACATTCCTCAGAGTCCGAGTCACAATAGTGTGTTAAGGTTGTAAAACCTTGTACACTCAAAAAAAATACACTGTTGTTTTTTCTCCCATTTTCCATGAGATGGTCTTAAAGATCTAAAATTCATTCCAGATTCACATTATTAGTCAGTGTCTGGGTCTGGGACTCAGAACCAGTCAGTGTCTGGGTCTGGGGACTCAGAACCAGTCAGTGTCTGGGTCTGGGGACTCAGAACCAGTCAGTATCTGGGTCTGGGGACTCAGAACCAGTCAGTGTCTGGGTCTGGGGACTCAGAACCAGTCGGTATCTGGGTCTGGGGACTCAGAACCAGTCAGTATCTGGGTCTGGGGTCTCAGAACCAGTCAGTATCTGGGTCTGCGGACTCACACCACCATGCAGTGGCGGAACCAGACTTTTAAACAGGGGGTGGCAAGGTTTTTTTTAACGGGTCCACATTTATACTATTCCGAAATTTTATTTCACACAAAAACTGGCTAAACGACAATCTTAATCTTGTCTTTTTATATAAAGTGAACTGAGAGCACACTTGGAAACTACAAACCAAAAAAGTGTATTTAAACAGTAGTCTGAACAAAAAAGTGCAACATGACATCATTCAAACATTGCATTACATTTTTCTTTTAACAAATTTAGCAAATTCTTGCGGTTCTGGTGTAAAGCAGCAAAGTATGTAGACTAACTCATCCATATTCCTCCTGGACTCTACACTGAGGATACACTGAGGATACACTGAGGATACACTGAGGATACACTGAGGATACACTGAGGATACACTGAGGATACACTGAGGATACACTGAGGATACACTGAGGATACACTGAGGATACACTGAGGATACACTGAGGATACAAGACGACTCAATCATCTGCCATGGTTCTCAGATGGTTTTTAATAAGATTTAGGGCAGAGAAACTTCTTTCACAAGACGCAGTACTGACAGGTATTAAAAAACACTTTCCAAACGTTCCAAAAGGACAAGGAAGTCCAATAGAGACTCTCTAATCCATTTTTTCCTCCCAAGAAGCCGCCTAGTTTGGGAAACTCAATTATATAAGCTATATTTTAATACAACAAATCCATCATCATCTCAAAACACACTGCCTCCGAGTCTGAGCTCCAGGTTTCAGCCTACAGCCTACAGCCTACAGCCTACAGATCTACAGCCTACAGCCTACAGCCTACAGCCTACAGCCTACAGTCTACAGCCTACAGATCTACAGCCTACAGATCTACAGCCTACAGCCTACAGTCTACAGCCTACAGCCTACAGATCTACAGCCTACAGATCTACAGCCTACAGCCTACAGCCTACAGCCTACAGTCTACAGCCTACAGCCTACAGATCTACAGCCTACAGCCTACAGATCTACAGCCTACAGATCTACAGCCTACAGCCTTCAGCCTACAGCCTACAGATCTACAGCCTACAGCCTACAGATCTACAGCCTACAGCCTAAAGCCTACAGCCTACAGATCTACAGATCTACAGCCTACAGCCTACAGATCTACAGCCTGCAGCCTACAGCCTACAGTCTACAGCCTACAGCCTACAGATCTACAGTCATGGCTCCTCCTTTTCTTTTCATGTTTACACTAAAGGGAAGAGGGCGATGATACGATGGCACACACACACACACAGGCACGCACACACACACACACACACGCACAGGCACACACACACACACACGCACAGGCATGCACACACACACTGGCACACACGCACAGGCACACACGTACACAGGCACGCACACACACACACAGATTCAGATTCATTTATTTGCCATTTGCAGCAAAACCACATTGGAAAAACTGTGCAAGACTACCCCGGTGTGCACCAGACAGAGAAGACGACACACACCAGAGCTCTTGCCACGGCGCCATCTTTCCGGCGCCATGCGACAAACAGTAGAATAAACAGCAGAGAGCAATAACATACAGTTTCACAGACAGTTGGATAGACACATTGTGCTTTGAATAAACCACGGGTTTTTTTCTCGGGATGAGCACCTCCGACTGCCGGCCCAATGTGGCTGTCAGAGGGGGGCGGGGTCAGGGAGGGGGTGAGTCGGAAACACAGTGAGGAGTGGAGGGGAGGGAGGGAGCAAGATGGATAGAGAGGGAGGCGGGGGAAACGGGATCCAAGCTGGAGACTGAATAGTGTGAGATTGTTGTAGATGGGACCTTTGTTATTATGGCCTTGGCCGAGGAATGTGAGATAAGAGTGGAGAGAAGACACAGGAGGAGAAAAACACATCGCCTCAGGGGGACAATATTAATGCAATGTAGCATCAAAAGCAGGCAGATATTCTATTAAATCCAATTAAACCGAATTGCGGCGCCCTCAGACCCCGTACACAGGGGCAAATCCAAGCCGGGTCAGAGAGTTCAAGCCTGACACACAATGTCATTCAATCTCAACTCCAGAGTTTTGTTCCCTTCGAGTGAACGAGCTGCAAGATCTTTTATCAACTGTTCCACCAAAACCACTCTTCTTTGTCCAGACACGGCGCTCTCAACCACGACGCGGCTAAGCTCCTTGTACATCCCATCAATTTTGTCGGCCAGCAGCTCGTGAATCTTGCGAACTGCCATGCCTCCGAATTTGTGGTAGAAGAGAACAGCTCCAAACCCAAACAGGAGGATTCCCACCACCAAAATGCCAAAGATATATACGTCTTCCGAATCTTCAATGGACAGGGTCGACAGACAGAGGGGCTGCCACTTGTTCCAGCTGTCAAGAGTATACCCCGCTGGTGAAGTCCCGTCCGGGCACACGGGCTCTCCAGACCCACGCTTACGTGTTGAAAAGATAGAATCAATTGCGTTGAGGGACCAGTTAATCATTTCCATTCTTGTTAAAGTTGTCTGTGGCAAAACTCCAGGAAAAAGACAAAAACAGGAGATAGCAGCAGTCAGAAGCAGGAGCGTCTGAGACACGTCTGTGCTCGACGGAGGCACGCAGACACACACTGGCACACACACACACACACAGGCACGCAGACACACACAGGCACGCACGTACACAGGCGCGCAGACACACACAGGCACACACGCACACACTAAAAGTACTAGAAACTGAACAAGTGCGCTGCAGCACGTGTGTCTATGCTTTGTGTCAAATGTAAACGGTTGGCTCTGCATCGGGCACATGTCCAACAAAGCATTAGCAAACAGCACCGGCCCCACACAGAGTCAGGGTGCGTTCACAGACGGGGGAAACCGTGGGAATTTTTAGCTTTTGGCGGAAAAAGTGCGGAAGATTTTCAAGATTAACTTTGCCGTCTTCCGAGGGGGGCACTGGGGGTGGCAAGGGTATTTTTAGTGGCCACCCTGGCTACCCCTCTGGCTCCGCCACTGCCACCATGGGCCATACCATCCACAACAGTGACATCAGTAAAGCGCTCACACGATGCTGGATGTGGAGGTCCTGGAATGGTGTGGAGGTCCTGGGCTGGATGTGGAGGTCCTGGACTGGTGTGGAGGTCCTGGACTGGATGTGGAGGTCCTGGGCTGGATGTGGAGGTCCTGGACTGGATGTGGAGGTCCTGGACTGGATGTGGAGGTCCTGGGCTGGATGTGGAGGTCCTGGACTGGATGTGGAGGTCCTGGACTGGGGTGGAGGTCCTGGGCTGGATGTGGAGGTCCTGGACTGGTGTGGAGGTCCTGGACTGGATGTGGAGGTCCTGGACTGGATGTGGAGGTCCTGGGCTGGATGTGGAGGTCCTGGACTGGATGTGGAGGTCCTGGACTGGATGTGGAGGTCCTGGGCTGGATGTGGAGGTCCTGGGCTGGATGTGGAGGTCCTGGGCTGGATGTGGAGGTCCTGGGGTGGATGTGGAGGTCCTGGGCTGGATGTGGAGGTCCTGGGCTGGATGTGGAGGTCCTGGGCTGGATGTGGAGGTCCTGGGCTGGATGTGGAGGTCCTGGGCTGGATGTGGAGGTCCTGGACTGGTGTGGAGGTCCTGGGCTGGATGTGGAGGTCCTGGGCTGGATGTGGAGGTCCTGGGCTGGATGTGGAGGTCCTGGGCTGGATGTGGAGGTCCTGCTGTGGTTACACGTGTGGTCTGCGGTTGTGAGGCTGGTTGGAGGTACTGCAGTATTCTCTCTCTGGCCTTTGGAGACGGCTCATGGAGGAGAAATGAACATTCAGTGCAGGAGCAGCACAAACGACTGCCCTCTGGCTGCACAGTCTCTAACTCCCCGCTCTGATGAAACTGCGCTGTTTGGTCAGAGCGCGGCCGAGCCCCTCTGTGCTCGTGCGTGAGACCCTCTGGCACGTGCTGAGACGCCTCTGTGCACGTGGCGTGAGACCCGGTGTGAAGCCCACACACGCTGTTTGGGCGCAATGCGTTATGGGAGATCATCCACTGCACAGAACCGGAGGGACCAGTGACGGAATGCCCAAATACGGAGAGTTCCCATAGATCTTTGAAGTTTCCCATAAGCAGGTGAGCGTTTCCCAATAGATCTTTGAGAGTTTCCCAGAGATCTTTAGAGGTTTCCCAGAGATCTTTGAGAGTTTCCCCCAATAGATCTTTGGAGAGTTGTCCCAAAAGGATCATTTGAAGAGTTGGCCCATAGATCTTTGCAGGAGTTTCCCATTGAATCTTGGAGAGTTTCCCAGAATCTTTGCGAGTATTCCCATAGACTTGAAGGTTTCCCATGAAGATCTTTGGAGATTCAGGCGACTTCCTCAGAATCTGTCAGCCCCCTTGCCGTCACAAAGAGGACAGCCACTGAGCACAACCATTTCATGTTGAATAGAGGCGCCATCTTGGGATCGCACGGGGGCTTTGGCCACACAACAGACTGGATACTGATGGGCTAAATGCTAACACGCTTAGCTCAAAGAACGCCAATAAGAAGGGTGCACTGCTTATTGGGGCTGAGCCTTGTCATCAGATTTACTTTTGTAAAACGTGACGTGACGTGACTTCCTGAATCCCGGTGGGAGCGGTTTTCTTGACTGCATCACTCGCTCTCTGTTGGCTCTAACAAACACATTACATCCCGTATTGAACACCAAGCTAACTGGTGTAGCACTCGAGTCTGCGGTACTTGCAGGCTGAGGTTTTAGTAGGGGAGCGGTTGTTTTCTGGTCTCGGGAGTCGGTTGTGCGGGGCCCCGGATCCGTACGTAGCTTAGCCTAGCCCTACTTAGCCGTAGCCGCGACCTTCGCTACGTAATGCGGCTGCTGGTCTCGCCCTCAATCCGTTACTGCTCGCCGTGCCATATGGCGAGTCTAAACCCTGGATCCTTCTCTGGAGGGTATGATAGATGTTAAGTGTAGTGTATCCGTAGCTCTTGGAATCCAGGTCAGTGAGTTAGAGCTGCCGGCTCCGAGCCACTGGAGTCTCGAGCTAGCGCTAGGCATAGCGTACAGCCAGGCCGTAGCCCAGGGACAGCGGAGCCAGCTTATGGGAAGGCAGGGAGGAGAACTAGCGTGCCTAGCCTCCCGCCCTCCTCCGCAGCTGGACAAGACCAGGGGATAGTGATGGCTGTGTGACTGTTCGAGAGGGCGACGTGTTTTGGTAGTTTCCCCATTGGGCCTCCTCCTGTTAAGCATTTACAATCGCTTGGGGACGCGCTGGGCCGGCAGCGCCCCCGGGCCGCGGCCGGGCGGGAAGAAGGCCCCACTGGAGAGAGCGGCAGAGAGAGCTGCAGTAGAGCCGATGGAGTCGCTGATGTGCTGGTAATTGGCTCCTCTATTGTAAGAGGGGTGTAAGATCCCAGGAGCCACTGGGTTCGCGTGGGCGGACTGCTTCACCCTGGTGGGCCCAAACTTGTTGCGTATTTGAAGGGAATCTGAGGCTCATGATGACCCACTAGCAAGCGTAGCCGTCGAAGTTGTTTATTCACGGCGGGTGGTAATGAACGTTCGCTCGGGAAAACAGGTCCGAAGGTGTTCAGCCTGCATGTCGCCGCCGTTGCAAGCTGCTAGGCACAATGGCCGACACTGGCATCTGCTCGTGGGCCCCTACCTAGCACTACAGTGCAGAAGCATTCAGCAGACACTCGGCGTTCAACCGCTGGCTGTCTGGCTGGATGCCCTCGTAGTGTGGTTGTTTTCATGTTGACAAGGTGGAGTGCCTTTTTGGGGAAAGCCCGTCTCATCCGCGCGGATGATACCAACTACCAACTTTGGCGGTAACATCCACTTTTGGCTAAGAAGTTGGCCCGTGGCTCTAAACGTCTGGCCGGCTCAATGACGATGCAGAACTGAGGCCCCGGGTGGCAGAGCTGCTCAGGCCACAACCTCTGAGGACCCCCATCTGTTCAGTTACTGGCTCAGAAGCTAGTCAATTGAAACTCTGTGTGGCATGGGTGTGTGGGCCTGGTGTGTGCTACAGTTACTAGCCTCAGAACCCTAGTCGATTGAAACTGTGTGTGTTCCCCCTTGAAGCTAAAGCACTAAAAATGGAGAGGAAATCTGACCTAGTGTCCCAGACTCTGTAACGTTAATAAAAGTTCAGACAGACAGAAATCGGGTCTAGCGGTAGTTGTTAAATGGTGTTTATGACGGGCAGGATCAATCCGACTAACGCGTCTTCTCATAAACAACGTATTATAACAAGGTCTTGGATCTTTGGCGCTCCTCAGGAGACTTGCTCCAACAGGCCGAGACGTTAATGGAATGAGTGCACTCCTCCGACGCATGTATAACTACCAGAAAAGCCAAGCTACAGGTCGCGGGGCGGGGTGTTGGGCGATTATAACACACACCAGACGTTGGTCTTAGCCCCCAAAAACCAACAACGCTTTACACTCAGTTTTGAAAACTTAACACTTTCAATCACCGTCCTGGTGGAGAAACAAAAAGCTGTACTATTATAGTTGTTATACGGACCGCCAGGTCCTTACGCGAGTTCCTAACGAGAATTCATCTGACATTCATTGTCAAACCGAGTTTTGGAATGGGGAAAACATAGTTTATAACGGAGACTTCAATATACAGGTGGACGACAGCACTGACAGCTTAAACAAAGCTTCAGTGCCGTACTAGATGGTGTGTGGTTTTTACTCAGAATGATCGAGAACCCGACTCACATCATAACCCACCTGGACCTTGTCCTGACCTACTCTGTGATGTCTCCAATGTTGACACCAGCGTCAAAGCCTCGGTGCTGTCTGACCAGTTCTTGAGATCACGTTTGATCTCGCTTTGGAGGACTTTCCTGTCCCGCAAGGGATAACCATAATGTGAAAGAACCTTAAAGAATGGATAAATCCTATCACAAGGTCATTCCAAAGAACTAAGACGGCCTATGTTGAATACTGCGCAGGTGAACCTTCATCGAGCAGCTCAGTGGCCCGCAGCCTCAGTGAACCAAACGGTGGGCAACACTATGGAGTCTTTAAAATCTGCATTAAATATATCAGCTCCTTAAAAAACAGAAAACCATTAGGATCTGAGATCATCGTCGCCCTGTTACATGTTAACTCCACAACGTTATAACAGGGAAACGTCAGTAAAATTGGAGAGGCTATAATCGCCACTGCCACTCGGAGCCTGTCCACAGGGATGGGAAGCAGTCTCCGAAACTACAAGAGGCCCTTCGCGGGGGCTCGGTACGCAATAACTATTTCACTTTAATAGAAGCGAATAAAAACAACAGGAAGATGTTTGTTTTGGCACCGGTCCCGCTAAACTACACAAACTGCCATACGCAATCGAGCCTAAAATTCCAAGCTCACTGAGCATGGCGACTGTCTCACTTCTTCATTCTTTATTATAAAATTACATCCATCCGTGACAAGCTGGAGGAGGTGCTCTGCTGTTGGTAGGGGGACAGGTTGAAGCGGGCAGACTGACTTCCCACTTAAACTTCAGTGGGGTCCTTAATAAATTTCATGGCTGGAGCCAAGGCAGAGGGTGATCTCTGTGGTCACGTCCTCAAAAGCCCAACTTGCAGGGTTTAGTACGCAGTCCCGACATGGCTCTTCTAAGACATACTTCCTTGTGGAATAATTGAGCCTGCTAAATATACTAAACGCACCATCCATACAATGTGGCTATGTCCCACAAGTTGGTTAAAACCGCGGGTATCAAATCCCCTTCTGAAGAAAGCCAAACCTGACCCAGAAATACTACAACTACAGACCGATCTCAAACCTCACTTTTATATCTAAAATCCTGGAAAAACTTATAGCTACAGCTCCGCTGCCACCCCTGCAGGAAAATAATAGGTTTTGAAGTCCGTTCAATCAGGGAGTCAAGCTCATCAAAGCACTGAAACAGCACTAGTCAAAAGTCACAAATGACTTGACTACTAGCTGCCGATAACGGACAAGTGTCAGTGCTGGTCCTACTGACCTTTAGTGCTGCATTTTGGACACAATAGACCACCAGTCATTCTATGCAGAGGCTAGAATGTGATAATAGGTCTTAGAGGATACAGCCCGTGGCGGGGTTTAAATCCTATGTTAAGCAGATCGATATCATCTTCGTCAATGGGAACAGGACTCGGTCGCCTTATTCGGGAGTGAAGTCGTGTGCCGCAGTGTCCGGTACTCGACCGATTCCTTTTTACTCTCGACATGCTGCCTACTGGAAGCATTATTAAAAAGCATCGGGAATAAAGTTCCACTGCGCAATGACACACAGCTTTTATCCGGTCGATGAAGCTAATAACACCAGACAGATCAACAAGCTAGAAAAGCTCAGGTGCCTGCATAAAGGACCGGAAAATGTGGGATGACTCTTAACTGCCCTACTTCTCAACCCGAAAGACAGAAGTGATCCTAACACGTCCGAAGCGCGCTGCTGACTCCCTCCACTAACCAGATGGTTTACCCTCGATAGGTCAGTATTATTCCCATAAACACGGTGAGGAATCTTGGAGTCATTTTTGACCAACGAACTCTCGCGTTCAAGGCTTATATAAGCCCAGCAACTAAAACGGCGTACTTCCACGTACGGAACATCGCTAAAATTAGGAATTTCCGTCCTAAAAGTGACGCGGAAAAACTCCTATGCACCGTTTTGGTCACCGTCAAGCACGACTCACAGTAACGCTTTACGGCAGCGGGCCCTTAAGCCTCTTTGAAGAGCTTGCCAGCTCGTTCAGAAAACAGC